ACAGCCATTTTGCCAAGAGAAGATAACCTCCTTTGGGAAAGTTCAGCTTCAGGCTTTCTGTGCAGGATGCAACGTGCCAGTGGTTCAAGCACTGATGAACCGTCACACAAAAAATAGGTGTGGCATGAAAAATAATATATACCAAGTCTGGGCTGTTAATTCTACCACTTCAAATATGGTGGCACAATTTGGGAAATGTGGCTTAGAGAGTGGCTCTGCAATATTCTTTATACAGACAAGAGAGGTGAAAGGCCCACTTACCAATATAATAATTACAGTGGTTTGTGTTGAATTATCTGGGGGGGAGGACTACTTCTTTAAATATTAATATTAAACCATGCCACCAACGAAGAAAAGGTATGGTTAAATACATCAATGGTTAAAACAAGCTAGGATGGTATAAGGAGGTTTGTTAAGACTTTTTGCAGTGTCCAGAAATTGTTTTGTTATAGATGCCAAAGCAGGTGGGAGAAAGTGGACACTTACTGTATAAGAAAAGTAGTGCCTACTTAACTATTACTGCTGGTTAGATTTATTTTTTTCTCTTGGCTAATGGGCACTATCAAGACACTAAAGCATCCTGAAGTGAGGTAAGAGGGGAGGATAAATAGGGTGGGTGAGAAGTGCAATGTATTAAAGAAAGAAATTATGCAGAAGTTCACCTGCTGTTGTCAAGATCAAGACATGGAGAAGAGCATCTGCAATAGAATAGATGGTTTAACATCACAAAGGAACAGAAAGGGGGAAAAAAAGAATGAGTTAAATGAAATACTGAAATACTGGGAAAATGAAACAGATTTCTAAAGCAAACACATGAACATATACATATATATGCATATTCCTCACATGTGGGAAGGTAGAAGTGAGTATGGAAAACAAGCCTACATAAAGACCCTCAGTTCCAAGTGGCCACCACCAGTACAGCAGTGAAACTGGAGGGATCTGGTTTCTCTACGGACATTCTCACACTGGAAGCCAGACACCTAAAATGCACACTTGGATTCTGAGTAAAACTTTCAGAAGCAGTTAAGGGGAAATGCTGCTTGGTTTAGGTATCCACATCTAAAATGTGTACCAAGGGATACCAAAGGGTGAGGAACCTAAGGTAATTCCAGCCAGCGCTCCTGATAGCACAATAAATCATATTTTTCTTTTCTTAAAATCCTCTATCAATACATTGTCCTCCACTTCCCTCCATTTCAACATGTTTCTTGTCCTCCTTTTGTTCTACAAAACAACAAATTTCCAACTCTCATTTTGACCTGTTCAGGCTCTCAGTAATCACTTAGTGTCACAGGGACGATTAGTTTTCCAATGTCCCTTGTTATTATATGGATCTCCATTGACATTTTCTTCCATTGACATGCTTTGCTATTAATGCAACACACTCACTGTTTCTCCTCATTGTAACTTTCTGAACAAAGGCCACAAAGCTGCAGCATAATTTGAAATCATTTAGACTTTCAGATTTAAGAAATGACTATCAGCTGGTCGCTGCCAGGTCCTGTTTCCATAACGATTTCCAGGAAATCAATCTCACGTCGGGAAAAAAATATTATGGATTCAAAATACAACACTTGAAACACATTTTGTTTACCTTGTTAGCAAGGATCCAGCGTCCTTTTTGGCAGACATGCAGCTAAGAATGATAATTCACATTATTTGTCACATTAGGAGCTGCCCAATCCCTCACCTTTTCATTGATGGAAACAATGACTTCCAGCAAGATAAACTCACTAATAATATCCCAACTGTGTAATTTACTTTAAGATACAAGTAGTGACACGTTCTGACCACCCGTTAGTCAGACAGGGACTTCTTCAGCAAATTGCATAAAAGAAATCAGGATCTTTCATCAAACAGGAGTTTTACTGTGAGTTGGAAAACCTGCTGGGTATTTGCTCTAGAACACAATACCAAGTTAATATCAAAGCACGGACCCAAAGCTCCTTCCTCTCAGTGCCATGATCCTGACAACATGTCAGATTTGCTTTCTTATCTACTGTGCCTCTACACAGCTGTCAGGAAAATTCTTAGAAATATAATTTATACAACTCATTTCACTCTATCACCAGAACACAAGTAAGAGAACAACACAGTTTTGCACACCGTTAATGATTTAAACATCTTACAGTCACCCTTATCTTCACCATTCATGCATATTCTTATGGGAGATAAAAATATGGTGCTGCCAAGCAATGTCTAAATGCTGCAAATCCTTCAGTTCAGTGATTTTTTTTTTTTTCTGCCTTCCACCTTAATAAAGATACACATGTTCTTCCACAATAGGATATTGTGTGGTATAAGACTAAAACTGTGAAACATATTTGCATTTTTCTAGGCAGTAGCTCTGTCTCTCACATTCCAGCATGAAATTATAAATTATATCCCCTAATACCAGCAGCCAAGTCATAAAACTCTATCTTATTAGATATTCAGCACCCAAATTTTTTGGCATATTCAGAGATCCTTAAGTTTGCTCAATATATAAGATCAAGTAGTTTTGTGAGAAGAAGAAAATCTGATTTGCTTGAAACGGAGTTTAAGTGCAGGAATTGATACTTTTCTTTCAGCTAAAGTAGGAGACTATCTGGAAACTGTCAGCCATGTAAAATGACCAGGAGATCTTTATTTTGAGATTTTGAGCCCTGCAAGAGCATTACCTCTTAAAAGAGAAATATTTTTGGGATTTCAAGGTGGTTGCTAAAGACAATGACCAAAGAACTTACTTTTTCTTCCTTTCTGATCAAATTATCAACCTACAGAAGGAGCAGATATATTTAAAATTTAAATGGATGGTTAAAACTTTTACCCTTCTAAAATTTCACAAGATTTGGTCAGTCATGCAAAGGCTGAAATATGTGCCTGTGAAGGTCCAGATTGAGAGAACAGTTCTCTATGAATTTATCCTTTTGCCTGGGGGTGTTAAACTGTGACCCACAGCAACACTTCCCTACAGTGGGAGATCAGTAAGGACCCTACAGCAATTTGGGGTTCACCACTGGACTGGTGCATGAAGAGAAGTGTCATTTCTCTCCTCAGATTGTACAGAATACTTGCATCTGTGACAAATAAATTACCGTCCAATACTTGGCTGCTGTGTTATTTCTCAAAAATACCACCTGAATTCAAGTAATTTTCAATGTCTTGGGCAAAACCTTGCATGGGACCACTGACAATGTTTATCCAGGATTTCTTGCAAAATTCAAAGAGTTTCCCTTCATGATAGGTAACTACTAGTTCAGTGCATGCCCTAAATGTCAGCAGTGCTGCTGCTTCATAAGAACCCACTAACAGTGTGTGTCTGCATGTGGAGGGGAGCGTGGCTGACCACAGGGCTATGAATCACAAATGCATTTGTTGTTCCAGCAGAGTGAGCACAACAACCATCACCTCCTACAACTGTTTCACTTTTAAAATAAGGTCCTACAAGCAAAACTCTATGATAACTTAATGATTCAAACCAACCTAAACAAGATAAAAATGAAGTGTTGTACAGGCCTTTTCAAAGGCTGAGGGATTGTTATTAAAGGTTTCTTTATTACAATATTTAGTGTCAGGTTGGTGTATATAGATAGAAAGAACATAAATTGTGTTGTATTAAAATCCACTGTTTCATATGAGGCTGCAAAGAGTTTTGCTCCTATTAAAATCAGGTATTTTATCCTACCACTAGCATCCTGGTCATCCAAAAGGTGGGAACATCACTCACATTTTTTAAAAGAGAACAACAAAATAATTGCACATCTGAGAAATAAATTCCACTCCTCTACAAATTATTTAGTTAATCCTCTGCAATCACAGCAAAGACCTACCTTTCAGAAAAGGCAAATTAATACATCCTTTGGAAAAATATCTGTAAACTCTCTAGGGTTAGAATAAAGCACCAAAGCAATTTTAACACTTTCATACCAGCACGTATATAAACAGATAGACACCTAACATATTAAGCATTTTCATTTCATTTGTTAGTTTTGGAGCTCATGAGAAGCAAATCCACACAGCAGTGGTCACAGTCAACTATCCTACAATCAGCTAACAAACAATATTCTCAACTATGTCACATTAGTTAATCTGGCAATATTGTTCCTCCTCTAGATCAGGACTGCCTGCCATTCCAAATGGGACCCCAGTGCTATTTTTTAAAAATACTGACTGTAGGATAGTATTGAACTCACTCAAGATTCACAAAAATCATCTTTCCCCTTGTGCTGTCCAGTCATGCTGTGTACACAGCCCACAGAGATTAAATGCTTTTAATTACTCCAGTTTCTTCTGAATTCATCTGCATGTTCCCCATCTAATCCAATGACAGGACATAAATAAAGAATTCAGTGTGAAGACTGAAATTACTTAAAATGCAGTAAGTGAGGGCATTTAAAACAAATGCAGTCACAGATTTTAAGGCCAGCCAGGATAAGGTTTGTAAATACGATCTTGGCTGGGCCTGCATTTTGACCTGCCTTATGCCATGACAGTGAGCTTGCCTAAATGCAAATGCTTACAAAGAGTCAGCTGTACATGAGGAGAGTGGTCAAATATGTGCAAAGCACCACGATGTTTAGGTTGCTTGTCTGTTCGTGTAATTTAGAAGGCAAACACTGGAGCTGGTGCTCACCTCAACTACCCCACCAGCATGGTAAGTACTGACCATCTGGAGTGATTAACCACTTGGTGTCAATAATTATTATTAACTCTGAAAGTCATTGTACTTATTTCTCCATAAAATACACACAAATGGCCTGTTTGTATGTGTCATTTATCACATTCATTCCCCTTGAATTTGACTGAGGGCTCAGTGACTCGCAGTGATTTCAGAGAATAGCCTTGGTACTCAGGCTTGCTTGGTTGTCAGAGCTTAAAAGATCATAACAATTTACTGGCAGCTCCAGGAGGCAATGAGTTAAAATACAGCTCCTAGTTAAGCATTAGTTGAAGCTCGTGTCACTGCAGGTACTCTTTTTCTCACTATGTAGCATAATGTTAATTGAGAAACTCACCCAGAATGAATAGGGCTGGAAGAAAGAGCCACATTGTCCAAGATTTCAGGGCCCAAGCTTAAGCGATATGAATTCCTTTCAGCTTCTTTGGCCAGAGTTGTTACCTTGGGAAGCAAAATAACCCCATTTTACTACAAAGAAATCAATTAACGGACAAAAAAATAATATGTATTTTGCATAGTAGTGCCTAAAGCATTTAAACATTTTCTTTTAAAACAACAGACTACTAATAGCATTAAGATAACAGAAATCCTTATTGTAGCATTTTATATTTCCCTAAAGTAATCCTACATTAGTGGTTTCAGTGAAATGAATCCTGTGATTTAACTAAGAAGGCATTTCCTAAATCTCTTTTCTTTTATCTACAAGCACATTTCAAGACAGTATCTTTTAGGACAATGGCTATGAGTTCATTACATCCCCTGAATATGTATCTATTAGCAACATTCAAATATCAGTTAAAATGAAGAACATCCAGAAAACAGTCCCCGTGCTATATTCCATTTGTTTTGGAACCGAGTTCAACACTGCACAGGCACAGCATGCCATTAAATATGCCTAGAAAATAGAGAGATTTGTACTCAAACACACCAAGCAGCACACACCACACAGTCTCACCAGAACAATTTGCAGAGCAACCTTTCCCTGTCTCCTGATGTCTGCAGCCAAGAAGGGGCTTTGAGAGGTTAGCTCACCTGCTGGCTGGGGATGACCACGGTGTCGTCGATCATGGCGCTGTCGCGCAGGTAAGAGGCGTGGCTCAGCGTGTGGGACCTGTCGGAACTGAAGGACCGCAGGCTGGGAGGTTGGTAGGATGCCAGAGCAATGCATCAGCAGCACACAGGATGTTGCAAAGGTGTCATGACAGATCGAGTGGGAGAATGAGAAAAGCGTGCTATTAGCAACACCATGCAGCTTCCAGGGGCAGCAGAGCGCAGTCAGGGGAAACACAGCTTTACACGCCTGTGTTGTGCCACCGGTCTGACCACGGGCCACAAAGCCTGTGCACTAAACTATTTGCTTCCAAAGGCAGAACCTAGAGATTAATCTAAATGACAGTTTATTTTCAACTCACAAATACTTGAGATTTGGCTTTGTGGCAAAATGGTTTCCTTACAACAAAGAGCATTCACTTCTGTTAAGGCTCTTTGGAGAACTCCTCTGCTGCATCACACAAGCAAACCACTATGGAAAACCGGGATGCTACCACCTGAAGAAAAGCTGGAATGACTCTTTCAGAAGCTTCGTTAGAACCTACCCTCTCCCCTTAAACTGTAAACCAGTAGGCCTGACATTGTCCCCTGGAAGGTACACACGGAAAGGCGAAGTGTGGCCAGCCGCAAGCTCCTGTGTAAAACAGAACCTTCCCCCGAACCCCAACAGCATCTGCAGGGAGCCAGCCCCGGTGTGAGCACTCATCTCGCTGCAAGTACACACAGCTCTGCACAACACTGGTTGCTGTAGCAATGAGAGGTGCAAGGCAGTAAACAGGCTGCTTCCAAGCACTGGCTTAGAATGTAGCTGCGGTATCCACCAGCAAAAAGCAGAACAAATAGACAAATAAAACACCACAGTTGGACATGTTGAGGTAAATGGGGCTTCTGCTACCAAACAGCACGAGTTTTGTCCTTTTAATATTCACTAGCTGCAGTAAGACAACAATGATTTTTAAAACCAGATCATCCACCTTCAGTTGTTGTGCGTGTACTCTGTGATGTTGATGTAGACCTTGAGGAATATCGCACCTCTAACTGAAGGGAGCAGTTCCGTGTTCCTGGCTTACACATCCGTGAGTAGTGCTCATAATGACTAACATGCTGGATCAGAACAATAGGCCATTTATCCAGATCCACAGAGTTTTAAGGGATAATTCATTTTCAGCAGTTAGCAATAGAAGTCATGGGTTCATTACAGACGTGAGTTTCAAATGCTTTAAGTGCATATCAAATATCATCTGAATCACGACCATTTTAAACAATAGTTACATTCACTCCGTGTTTTTTGGATCCATTTCTAGGAGCAAATGGTTATCTTATTTCTATTAGAAATATAAGACATTGAAGAATAATGAGTGCTGTTGATCATTAGCTTATACCAATGGCCTGTTCAGCATCCCAGGTGGATGGTACAAAACTGGAAGCACAGACAGGCATTATACAACTGTCAGCCTCCAGAAAGCCTTGAGAAAAAAGCAAACCAAAACCAAACAATTTTTTAATTTGGTTAAGGAACAAGCCTCAGTAGCAGACCCCATTTGCCATCATTATCCTGTGCTCATTTCCGTGTTTGACGCTTGCAGAACCGTTGTGCTGAGCCATGCAACGCTCGTGAGTCACCATCCAAGCTATAGGTTCTGCTATTGAGATAACACCACGGGCTGGATAGATACCGAACGAAGGGAAGTCTGAACTGCATTTGGCTGGTTATCCCTAGGGTGATTCTGTCCATCCCCACCGCTACTGCCACCACTACCAGTAGCCCAGTGCTAGTCACTGTGTAGAACCTGTACATAAGCTCTAACAAATACATCAGGGAGTGGGCTTTATCTGCAGACAGAAAAGACTGAGGTCTGCGGGTAGTTACAGGTTTAAATTCCCTGCTAGGCTCCATTTCAAAAGTACTGCTCAGATGGCACCGCTCCATCTGTGCATTGGACCAGCTCAACAAAGAGCAAACCAGCATTTAAAAGGTCTGTGCTGCTCAGACTTAGGAATAAAGTTACTGATTGAAATGACAGTCCCCTTACAGACTGAACACGGGATTTAATGTTAATCATTGTCATAAGCATTCAGGAATTCTACTAAATGTAAAGAAACCTACCTAAATCAGACACAAGACAATCACCTGAATGCAGACTCTTCTCAAACGTGGTTGATAAATCTGAAGTCTGAAGGGCTGGGGGACCGACAGCACCCAGCCCCAGAGGCAGAGCTGTGGAACCCAGGAATGCTGGAAAGCTCCTGAACCTAAGAGTGCACCCTGCCTGCGTGCACAGGCACATTTCACCACCTCTAACCCAGAACAGGACCCTGTTGGTATCCAAAAAGTAGGATCAGCATCCCCATGCTCAGTTCCTAATCTGCTTGACTGAAGGACTTGCAGTGCACAGTCACTTCCCAGCCTAAACCTAACGAGCTCTAGTCCAGCTGAACATATCTCTTGCTTATATATTAGTGTACATTTACATATGTTCTTTCAGGAGCTGAGGAAAAACCCTGAGGTCACTGAAAACTGTCTAAATCAACTGTCAAAATGTTTCTCAAGAGCAGCATCTTTCCTTTGGTTCTCCAACTCAACTTTCTGCACACAGCAGGCCTCCAAAGTGGATGAACAGAGACAGGTGCCAGAGGAGGAGATAGAAACAAGAGGTGTTCATGCTGTGTTGTACCTACCTGGGCATGATGCTAATGAAAGCATATGGAAAAGAAAAATGAAGGAAAGAGAAAATAAAATAAATAGGGAAGATGGTTACAAATGAAAAATATATGTTTTTAAATCAAATTGTTTAATGCATAAGATTACATGAGTCCAGACTACTAATACTATCTTGCTTTACTGAATTTCCTGAAAAAACAAAGTCATTGTAATGCAATGAAAACCACATTAAAAGGAAATGGAAAACAACTGAAGCAGTCTCTGAAAAATTCTTAAAATCAGTAACCTGAAGGTGATAAAATGAGACCATGGAGTTAGAAAGAAGACCTTCTTTCATTATTTCTCCCTTTAGAATTTTGCTACATTTCAGTATAATTTTGCTTGATACAGGATTTGAAATAATTTTCATACAAAATAAACCATATCAGAGACATGTCAGTGACAATCTACTGAAATTTACTGACAAGATTTAAAAGCTAAAATATTCTAAATGGGAGCTCAACTTAAACTGGCTTAACTGGCCTGCACAATCATTTCTATATTTCTATTCATCTTAAAACCTAAAATCTCCCAAACTTTGTTACCTTTGAAAAGAACAAAAGGTTTTGATTTTAGGCATTCTGATGTAGTTCAAGAAGTTCCTCAGAGAGTTAAAAAGCCACACAGTCACTTTGTTTTCAGTGTACTCACTGTCTAAAAACCAGCAGAGACTCCAGGCTTGCAGGACCTGAATGATGGGATTTACACATGCTGTGAGGCAAACCAAACTGTTTCCTGACATCTTTTGTTCCAGAAGCAATTCCCAGCCTACTCAAGTAAACAGAACGGATCCTACTGATTCCACTGAGCTTCAGAAATGCTGCCAGAATAACAACCAAAACTGGAAAAAGGAGGTAGCCTCAAAATTCTGTTGCCAAGATTTCAACCTTTTTTTCTTTTATTCCCTTTAGTGTCCCCCAGTTCTAATGACAGTGAGTCTGGAGACAGTGCTGATTACACCCAGGCATGCCTGGGTGGCTGTTCTAAGATAGAATTGTGAGGGTTAACCTGCCAACTTGAGCCTACACTAATGAAGGCTTTCCTTTTGGCAAGGGAGCTCCATATTTTTTGTACACTTTAATGACACTCTGAAAAAAAAAACCCAAAAACCTCCAAATAAATAAATAAATAAATAAATAAAAATTTAATCAAAGCTGCAGGCATTATTATTCCACAAAGACATCTAGGCTTAAGTTCAACTTGTTGGATATAAGGAAATTAGTATGTTGTCTGGACTGAACACACTAATATTTCTATATTATTATTACTGTTGTTGTTGTTGTGTCAGCAGAACAATTATTCTTCCCTGCTAATTCAACCATGAGGAACCAGATAGAGTGGATGTGCTTGCAGACACTCACTGCCAGTCCACTGCTCCTCTCCTGATATCTTGAGCCAGCAAACCACTCCAAAAAGTCAGCTCACCTGATGCTCAAAGCCTGTCCACCCATCCCCTGACCCATGGCAGCAGGAGATGAGGGTGCCCACACCTTCCTCCTGCCAAGGGGTGACTGCCACGCTGCCACACCGAGTACACCAACGCTGACCAGTGCACGCCAAGCAGAGAGACCCTGCACAGGGATTTCACACTTACAGCAAAACCAGTGCAGAGCTGTCATGAGCAAAGTTACGGATCTGGGCAAATACCTGTCCGAGCGTCCTCCTTCCAAGCTGTACCTCAGGTAGTTCATTCCATCCAAGAACTGGCTGCTCGGCAAAGAGTCATCTCCCAGCTCCCGCAGGTCTTCTGGCCTAAGGTACTCCCCTCCATCTCCTGTCATCGTGTCATCACCTGCAAATCAACCACACCAAGGGTAAGTGCACACACGAGTTTCATTCCATTGGCACCTCGAGATCTAACAGCTGGATGGCACAACGAACAGGAAGGCAATTTCCACTCAGGAAACACTGCAAACCACAAGCAATTAACGTATTTAATCGAACCGGCACGCCAAGCAAGATATTTTGAAAAACAAAAGGAAAATCAAGGCTATTAATCGATTAGATTTCAAATGTGTTTTGCTGTTACACACACTGGCAAGGAGCACATCTCTTGCTATGCTCTAAAGCGTGTTCTTTAATCCATCTTAGCTTCCTGGACACAGCTATGCTGTATCCCAGCCTGACAATTTATGGTTAAATACCACCACATATTTGACTGTAATCTACATGTTTTCAGACGAAAACATGTTTTCTGTGGCCTTATGCCTTATTGTTGCAAAGGCTAATTTAAACCCTCTGCTATCCCAGCTCCATATTATACCAGGCTCTGTCACCCGTATTCCAACATCTTTCTGTGATCAGCAACAAAATTTGTATTTCTAGAAGGTGGCAACATCCATAAACTGGATATAAGCTCACTTACATAGATGGGAATGATCATAATTCGTAATGAATCCCAGCCTAAATGATCATTTGCTATCTGACACAGTAACCTTTGTGCATACACTCTGAATAATGAAATTGAATCCTTTTTTTTAGGTCCGGAATTCTTCTCCCCAGGAAATTCTGTCTATATGAAGTCACAGTTTGCTTTTCCCCAGCAGACTAACAAAACAGATTTCACTGCCAAACAACGTGTAGATGTTTCTTTTCATTCCCACTTGCAAGACACTTCCTCTCCACAGTCTCTGCCTGGATACTTCAGTCCTTTTCCCGCTGGTAAATCACTGCAGTGTGAGGCTGCCAGAGGCTTGGTGTGTCCCACAGAGGCACACAACATGACCCCAGGCCACCAAGAGCTTCAAGCCTTCTCAAATTCTAGGCTTTTCTGAAGCTCATCTTGATACTTGTTTTCACAGAGCAAATCAAGCTATTTTTTTTCTAGCTTGACATTTCAGCTAAGAAACAAATAATTTAATTATTTCTCATCTAAAACTGAGTAAACTTTGGGGAGGGAGTGTTAAGATTTTTATGCACAGACAAATATTATATGTAAAAATGAGTCTCAAATCTTTTCAGTGTAACAACAAAAACTCTTGAAAATTCCATCTGCCCACATTAAGAGGGAGAAACTGGGCACAGTTTCACAGAAAACAATAAAATGCATTTAATCATTTAACATTTCCTGTCTTCTGACAGATGATGCCTCCTGTTTCCTGGGAATGTCACATTAAAAAGCACAGGGCTTAGTGAAAACTTGGAAGATATTAAGGCAACGCTGTTAATCAAACAGTAAAAGGAATTTCAAGTTATATTTCAAATAAACTAGATAATTATAATCATGCCAGACATTCCATTTATAATAGAAACAAAGGCAAAATCTTTACCGCTTCCATCACACCCACAACCTTTTTAAAAAAAAAAAAACAAAAACAACAAATCCAAAGTCTGCTCTGATTTCAGCTTTGGCCTCTCATCTGAGAGCTGTCAATAGCGGGGCTGAGCCGCAGCGTTTGATGTGATGGGACATCTGCAAACAGTAACCAGACCACGCACGGATATCTCGCAGCAGCAGGCGAGGGCTGAGGGAGCTCCCCCCAGCCCCTGTGCCCTCCCATCTTCCCTCCCCGAGATGAACATGCAGTGCCTCCTAGCATATGGAGAGAAGAAACAGGGCTTGAACTCAAAATGACTGCACGTTCGGCTGACCAAGGGCTTCCTGACAGGGCAGATCTCACCAGATGGCTGCTTTGTGGCGATACGGGAACTGCCCTTTCTCACCGTGCCAGAAACAATCCGTCTGCCATCTCATTCCCCATCAAATTAGTGCCAGGAGCATTTCCACCACTTACTAACCACTCTGGGACAAATGTAACCCTTGACATTGATGCTCCATGGTTTGCAGTGGCCATCTATCCATTTGCAAAATCCAACTGCTGTACGAGAATTGCTCTGGAGTTGTTTCTCACAAAACATAGAGAAAATATAGAGAAAACTTTAAAATAAAATAATAAAGGAATGGGGACTGTGTCAACCTGCCAGAAATTGCTTGTAATAGACATTTTTAAAGCCACATACAGCTATGAGTTTGCCAAAATTATTGTTTTCTCTGCAGCATGCAGGTAAGTCTAAAGCTCACCACAGAAGCACTGCAGATGGAGAAAGGATAACTATGGCAATAACAATTTTTATGGAATTAAAATTTGTTATGGAATATTCTGTAACTGCAGAGCTTCTCTTTGGACGCTTTCACTTCCCCAAGTCAATCCTCAATTTAGTGGCCCACACTAGCAGCTTCCCTGGATTATAGCTTGGCTAATGCAGTAACTTTGTTTATTTTTAGCCAGCCAGGAATGTGGGGTTTCACATGTGGTTTCAGATGTTGATAGATGACTTAAAATGAATGATCTTGTCAGCTATTGGGAGCTCAGGGCAGCACTCACAGAGTGGCAGGAGGTGATCTCAAAAAAAGAAGTGTACTTCAACTCCCAAGGACCTCTGGGGAAAGAGTAACACCTTGATTTTGTTTTCTTGCATATTTACCCATTGCAAAAGGAATTCCAGTACTTGACAGGTGGTTACTGTGGTATTTAGGAAGTTGCCCTTGAACTAGCCCTAAGCCACCAAAGCTTTAATTCTGTAAATCAGCATCTTGTGGTGCTTTATTTAGAGGGTGAATTAACTCAGCGGTGCTGTTCTGAATTTACTCTGCTCTAATGTGCAGTAACAGCAACATAAGTCTATCAAGAAAAATTCCTGGCTGCAACTTTAATTCCCAGTTTTAATTAAGGAAATTATGTTTTCCCACAAATTCAGGTGCTTCTTCAGAGGAATTAAGTGCACGTACAACAGCAGTGGATTCTGCCCAGACTTAGCTGCTCATTTCTCTCTCATATGCAGCAGCATTAGCTACTCCAAGGCCACGTGTGGCGGGGAGCACTCAGGAAATTCATTGCTGTATTTCAGCACGGTGGGGGTTTTTCTTTCTCATCAGAGATCTGGTGCAGCCAGATATAGGATCAGCTGTGAACTGCTTCCTGGAATCCAAGGTCACTACAAGGCAGTAGCTCAGAGTGTCCGTGAACTCTTGGCACATGACAACCTTCCTCCATCCCTTGCCTGCGATTGCAGGGTCAGCACTAATTACAGTTTGGTGTGAGTCAACTTTCCTGGCTGCCATCGCAGGCCATGCTGCTCCTGACAGTGGTGTTTTCATCCTCTACTTCAGCCTTTCCATTCTCTCCTGCCTGCAAAAGTTGTCTGGCTGGAAAATAACTCATCAGGACTAAGGAAGAGATGCATTTTCAGACAGATGGGTTCTCTGGGCTGGGTCACCACACGGTGAAATGCTCGTGCTGCCAGAATGGAGGATGTGGGGCAGCACAGTCGGAGCTTGACAACTTCTGCAGCAGCCAGAACTTGGTCTCAAGCAGACAGTGGAACTACAACTTTTGAAAATTAACTGGCAATGAGGAAGCTCAAAAAGAAACCAATGAGAGCTCTTGAACATCCTGTTTTACCAGTTGTATTCCCTCTCCATAGCACTACCCTTACTGCACTATCTCCCACGGGAGCCTCAAAGATAAACCACTGTTGGTTTGTGCAGCTCTTCCTCACAAAAATGAGGCATGGAATGAATACAGAGGAGCATTTTACTATATGGGAAAATAAGAAAGAAACCAGGCTCCTGCCTTTTCTACATTTTCCTGTGTGTCTACACAGACTCAGCCCTAACAAGAATATTTGCTTGTGCTTAACTTCACTAATTCTGTAGACATCACTAAAATACATTTCACAACACGCTTTGCAGTAAAGTTCTACAGATCCCTCAGGTGCAAAATGCTTGTTTTGTGGTGACAGCCTTAAAGCAACTGAACTTGGCAGCAATACAGCCAAGGCAGACACAAGGATGAAAATGTACAGGGTTTTTAGTGCGACTTCATCCACACCGAGCGTTTCTGTTGGCAGGGGTACACGTTGCACAAACCACATCTCTTAACAGCTCTGCCTGTGGGAGTCTGCAGTGAAATCCCCATGAACCAGGATTAAACACCATTTCAAATAAATTATTTGATTCTGTACAAAAGGAAGATTTGATTCTGCAGGTAGCATAAAAAGTAAAGAATTCTGAATAATAATCTGGTGGTTAAACACAAAAATGCTGCAAGAAAATCGAAGAATTAAAGTGACTTTTGGTCCTATAAAATATCAGGACCTTTTTAGTTTATAAAATGGCAGGATATTCCATACCATGATGAGCTATCTGGTAGATCTTTGTCTTTTATTTTATACAGCTAAGACTGGATGTTAACATTGTTTTAGGGATGCAATGATATATTGACAACATGACAGCAACTGTGCAATATAACTATCTTCCAAGCAAAATGCAAAATACTTATCATCAGTGATGAACATGCTACACAATGGGACCTGAAATACTTTGCTCAAGTACTTTTGTGTTCAACTTAACAATTCTATAAATACAGCTGGCGCGTTTGCAGCAGCACATCGATTTATTTCAGGACACATCGCGTCACTTGAAGGAACACAGCGTCACAGAAACTTTACTGCTAGCCTCTCGTGAAGCTACACCAGCACTAAAAGGTTCATCCTCTCTCTATTCAACAAGTTCTGCAGCCTTCCTGTCCCCAGCTATTTTAAATTTCTGTGACAAGAGCCATCCACATTAGGAGTTCTTGCAGCGAATGTTAATTCAAAGCACAGGAGAGCATTAGTCATGCGGGCCAGCCCCTTCAAGTTCTGCCAACACGCTCAAGATATAGGTAATAAATCTGAGATTTTCTGGCTTCCCTTCCTCCTCCCACCTTTCAGGAAACACACACTCAGCCACACTTCAAAAGTAACAGAGAGGAGCAGTGTTAGGTACCCAAATTATACAAACGTGTGTTGTTGCAACACAAAACAATAAACCAGTCAGTCATAGTTAAACAAAAAGAGAAAGTCTGTGGGTCTTACTCCACGAACTCCTGCTAACAGCACCCGTGCCACTATATGCCTCCCCATCACTGAAGGGTTCCTCATCAGAGTGTTTAAAGGCTGTACAACACACAAATTGGTTGGAGAAAAAGGAACACCCTGGATTAATCCTGTAGAAGCAGGAAGACATACTAGGCTTTGTGCATTTAAAGATGATTCAACAGTAGATGAGGAGAAAACTAAATAAGGTGAACATAAGGCAATGAGCAATTTAAAGGCAATTCAACTTAATAATTACACAAGCAGTTGAATGTTTCTTAATCAGAGACAAAGCAGCAAAATAATTTCACTGGTCATGATGCAGCAGAAGATAATTGATTTTGAATCACACTTGTTTGCTTTTGCATTTTAAAATAAAAAGTTGTGTCTGGAGCCTAAGCATCATGTTTTTTCAAGAGTATAACTCATTTATCAGCATAAATCCCATTGCTAAAAGCAATAGAAGCACTTGTAATTAATGAATGCCATTAACTCTGTGCACCATTTAGAACCACAAGTACATCTGTGTTCTTTGTAAAAGAGAAATACCAACCCTGTAACTTGAGTTTCTAAATTCCCAGGACTTTCTGGAAACTACTCACTCCACAAATTATTTGCATGAAATAAAAACAACCACCATAAAATGGTACACATAGGACATTGTAATATTAACACTGCCGAGTGTAAAAAGGAAAAGAGAAAATCCTTCCAAATGTGTTTATTAATATTGCTGTGACTAAAATTTCTCAGTCACTTCTGAACTCTTAGGAAAGGATGGGTTTAGGCCATTTCTGCAATTCTGAGCTGTGTAGAAGCGTGATACGTTATCACTTCTCCCAGAAGGTCACTGAAATTTCCTTGGGATGTAGCTACGTGGTGCAACACATCTCCTGTCTCTGTGTGCCTCTGAAACCCAAGCGCCAAACCTATCAGCGTGTTGTTACTTTATATCACATCATGTGCATCCTTGAGCCTCCCTGCGCCAAAAGCTCCCTCAGGGGAATGCTCTCCGCACCCTCCACCTAATGCATCTTCTGACACAAATGTTTCCAATTAGGCGAAATTCCTGGATGTTTGTATCTGATACAGGTGGCACGGATCCAAAAAATGTACTGCTCAGATTGCTCTTTATGGAGGGGTCAAAGCCAACTTTGGGACAGCTCTGCAGTGAAATTTTAAGGACTGGATTTAGGAAATGGTCTCATTTGCCAATTTGGTTCCGATCAGTTTTTTCTGGAAAAGGCACAGGGGTCCAGGATTTTGCTTTCTTTCAAATTTTGGCATCTGTATATAAATACCATAATGATTACACCATTAAAAAAAAAAAAAACAAAACAAGAATTTCATTACAAGCACAGCAAAATGAGGATGTCAGTGTACTCGAGCAGCTTTTTTCAGCCTATATAACAGGTTACATAGGTGATATGGAAGAGGAATTTAGCAAAGTCACTCACCTTCTTCATCTGACACATCCAGAACCTCAGTCATTGTCTCAGGAACATTTAGCTTGTGCTTCTCTGTTACAGTCTGCAAAGACAGAATCATCAGTCAGAGAGCAAAGTTTACAGCAGGGTGTTTTCAACAGACAGCAGTGAGATGTGCTGAGGCTTTTCATGAAGTGTTTACCCTTCCTCTAACTCTCCTTTTCATCTTTTGCCCAGAAGCTCCTATTCTCAGTGCTGCATAAGGTAACATTTCTTCTGGCAGAGAAGTACAGAAACGTAAGATAATGAGCTGGTCAGAGAAATGAAATCTATTTATAATGGTGCATGTAGAACAATTGAGCTGGATGTTTCCAAGATGATTTTAAAATGAAGTAGGTAATGTCTACAGAAGAGCTTCAGATAGTTGTATGGGGCATATGGAAATTATTAAATTGTAAAGCATTTGGAAATGAAGTTATGAATGATGTGAAATTCCTAAACTAAAAGAAGATGTGAAGGATTTACACAGATCACTTGAAACGTTTCTCCCCCCTCTCCAGAAAAAGGTGACTACAGTGAATATTAATTATATCCTTTTCATAAATCATGTATATTCCTCCTAGGCACATACACATCAGAGAAGAAAAAAAAAAGAGTTGTTTGAAGATTCTGAAACATCTTGTGCATCTAAAAGCTCAAAATATTGTGAGTCAAGGCAAGTATGGACTGAGGAATAGTGGGAGGATTCTGGTTAAACATGAGAGCACAGAGCACAAAAATACTGGATGTTTGTTGTTTTTTTTTTAAATGCAATTTCATCTTCATAAATGAATTCTGGGAGGAAACAGAAGATGTCCAGGGGTGCTGAATCAAGAGTGAGGACATCTTTTTAGCATCCAGATTCAGACTGGAGAAGGAGATGAAGAACATAACGCAGAGGAACTGCAGGAAGCGTAAGATATGAAAAAGTTGCCTGCAGGGAACTCTTCAGCGGGTTACAATACAGGGGATGAAATGCCAAGGGCTTCAGAAGGAGCGGTGATCACAAGTGCCTCGGTCACAACCAACGAGCACCAATTTCCGTGGCTGCTCCCAGCCGAGCTGGGGAGCTGCTGAGGGCAAGGGCCCTTAAGGATGTGTGGGAGCACAGGTGCCCCTCTGGCATGGAGAGCAGTGCCAGGAGGCCGCGTGTCTCCCCTGAGAAAGCCCCTCTGAGGCAGCACTCACTCCCTGCCGCAGATCCCCTCTATCCCATGCACGCCTTAACGTTACGTGCAAAGGAGTGAAAGCGTTTCATGGGAGGGATAATTAAATCAGCCAAACCCTCAGCCCCTTACACAATATTCCTTTGGGAAAATGCCCACTGATATCAAGCAGTGAAGTTAATAGCAGCTTTTGTTGCACAAAACTTACTAGTTATTTCCTGGTCCTGTTATGTGCTTCTCTGTTTCTAACAAACTGACAAAGCCAGCATTCTTGCTTATTGTAAAATACTGTACTTTCATAAATAATTAAGTTACCAACCATGTAATTACTTTGGAAATTAGTTTTTCAAGTCTGCTCTACATTTCTGAAATCTATTTAACTCTGACAGCAGTTCCAGTTTACCCTCCTGAGGTACAGGGAAAGAACAATGCCCTTTGCCTCAACTAGCAATCCCAATTAGGCTCCTAAATTCACTCTTCCCCATGAGTAAAAACAACTAATTATTTCTGTTGCAGCAGAACACATGCTCAGGGCTGCAAATTAGTTTATATTCACCAAATGTCCCCACCACCAGCACTGACTTTTCCCCTGTATTCCCATGGCTTTCCTGGGATAGAAATGTCAGGCAGCAGTGGGGTGACAAGGCCAGCGATGACATATGGGGAGGTGCTATCATTCAGGTGGCACTGACTTTGTTAACTCTGGTGTTGAAGAGACAAAGAAGCTGAGCAACCAGCTAAGTTAAAGCACAAGCTGCAGGTAGAGACGATCACTGTCCACTTTTCTATCACTTATATTCTTTAAGATAATATCTATTTCCAGGCAACCAAGGTTTATGGACTGCTACATCCATCTATGCATTACTTAGGTTTTTACAAGCCCCTATATAGTCTGGTCTCTAAGACTGGCAGACATTATTATCTATTTACAGGGAAGCAAGGATATTTGATTGACTTCCTGGCTTTCCCCCATCAGTAAGAAAAAAATTACTTCAGAACTGAACAATTGAAACAAAGCTTGGAGAAGCGATTCACAAGAGTGTGTGCGCACATGCACATTACAGAACAAAAAATCTTCAGTGCCATCTTTGGAACACTGAACTTGGCAAGAATCATTAAGTGATTCTGCATTAATTCTAATCCAAACAACTTCTGTTGGGAATTAATGTTTTTAAAGGAGCATCCAGTGTGATATGAGATTTTTTTTAATTGACAGGCACATCAAACACTCTCAAAATTTAAAATCCGTATCTAGCCCCATGAATCGTCCATGTGGAAAATTGCTCAGTGTGTATTTCTCAAACTCCTTAGGTTTAGTGCCACTGAGAATTCCATCATGGAGTTTAACTAAGGCCTCTGTATTTGAGCCTTCAATTGAAAGGCCAGAATTTCATTGGCTGGCATAGAATAATTCCAATCTATAATTCAGGTACGTAAACCCACATGTGCTTTCAGCAATGACTTACAGCAGCATGCTGCAAACAGCCTGAAAGCTCCTCATCTGTTCATCCATCCACAGCTTGTTTGTATAAATCCCCCCAAACTTAATTGCATAGCAAACCTCTTAAAGTCCAGTTTATCCTCATTTCCTACTGCTCCCTAGTTTGTCAGTAAAAAAAGTGCACTTTACTCCCTCTGTTGCTATATATTCATGTGGCTCCACTAAAAACACAAGTAAGAGGAAGATTTGTTCCAAGTTAGTGCGAAGAAAGGCTTTGGATCTTTCCCTCACCTCGAGTGGCAGTGACTTGCATATCAATCATGTCCTGGGTGCAGTGCTCAGCCCAGCCTCAGGGAATGAGGTAGCTATGGTGACAGCACCTTCTCTCAGGGCTCAGGTCTGGCAGCACCAGCCTCGCCATCTGGAGAACCTGACCACAGGGAGCACCTGCTACTTAGCCCTCCTTCACAGGAATTGTTCTAAATTATGTTTTAATCAACATCCCCCCCAACAAACACCACCACTCCATGATCCCTGAGGTACAAGGCTTAGATGAACTCATAGCTGGAGAATCTGATGAGTTTATCGAGGGCTCCCACCTGACTTTTAAAGTATGCAGACACAGATCAAGATTTCAGATTTCTCTGCAATCTGCCCTAAAGGTCAACTCTACAAGGAAGTTTTCAGTACTTGACTCAGTCCTAAACCCTAGGCATCAGGTGTCTGGTAGGAAAAACATTCGTCCTCAATGTTTAAAGAAATATTTTTTCAAAGTAAATAACTCACATGTGTCTTTTTGTAGTGTGATTCTTTATTTCAGAGATCTAACACTTCAAGTGTCCTCTGAAGCTTGAAAATATAAGAACTAAAGTTTCTCCAAATAATTTTCCTTGTTTTCTATTTTTATAGAATTTATTTAGTTATAAGTAATTTTTTCTATTTTCCTAAACTTCTGGTTTTTACACATATGTGTTTGTGTACGTACATGTGCGATGTGCTATATGATTAAACAAAAACATGAAGTAGTAACAGAGACACAAAGACTTTATCAGGAGTCTTCTGGAATTATGTCAAAATTCCTTCTCCAAACCTGACTCAGCCTGATCTTTGCAGTTCATTAATAAATTATGACTAATTCTATTTGTAACCTTATGCCATGTTCCTCGGTTCTTTCACCATTGCATCTTCCTTGGTTGATATCAAGTGGGATTTGCTGTCAGCATGCAACAAAATCAAAATTATTTTCCTATTTCTTTACAGGAGATTTTGGATTTCTCTTCTTATAATCCTCCCCACGACTGAGCAGTGGCATCTTTTTAGTAATCTAGAGATTTTACAGCTCTAAGCTCTTAAATGTCATCCAGAACTGATGAGGTTTCTACACCCGTAATCTTGCATTTTAAAAAAAAATAAAGAAACAAAATCAAAAAGCATGGCCTTATAGCAGTGTTTCAAGATAAATGCGGTAACCAAGATTTTAATTAAATATAATTTCTTAAATTATGCACTTTACCTAAGGTTCTCCCTTCCTACCTGCTATGACAGTTGTAGATGGGAGGTAAAAGTGCAAGGAGGGGAAAACTTCTCCTCTTAGGGTGCCCAAATAGATCAGCTTTTCCTGACTTAAAGCTGCAGTACCACCTTGCTGATGTTCAGCACACAGCATTCACCAGCCCTGATATCAAAATACAGACTCCAGGAGTGTGGAGCACTGAGAGGACTGAGCCCACAAGGAAAGATTCCTCTGCATTTTGGAAAAGCAGCATCTGTTTGAACTGGAAGTGACTGAAGTAAGAAGATGATGGATGTGATTCACAGCCATCCAGTGAGCATCATTCAGCTCTGGCTCTGGGCCATGGCTGGTGCAGTCCAAACGTAGAGATGCTGCAAGGATTCAGGAGCCTCAGGAGGTGCCAAAAGTGTGGAGATGTAAGGCCAGATGGGAAAGGAGAGGTGAAAAGAAAAACAGAGAAACAGGGCAGGATCTAAACTACACGGCACAAACTTCTGCAAAGTTTGGGTTTGCAGTTCAGACCGGGGTCTAGACACAAGATTTACTTTGAATTGCTGTTTTCCATCGGTGTGCACACAGATTTTGTTCCCTAGCTCAGGGGAGCCTGTTGCCTTGCACACACTTCCACATGCTCCTAAGATACACTCAAAGCACTGTAGCAAAAATGCAACAGAAAGGGAAGGGGCAGGGGGGGAGCTAAAACTCCCCAAACAGAACAGAAAAGGAAAGAGATGCACGGTGAGCCTGAGGGGAGAGCAGCAAGACAACACCCTGAGTAAAGAAGAGGCACATCTGAATGCATGTGCAACTCACAGTTGTGGTGGTGGTGATCTCCTCCGTTACAACCTTCAGCGTATCGACCACGGAGATGTATCCCAGGCGCCTGGCGATGGCTAAGGCTGTGTTACCATTCTGAAGGGAAGAGAGAGGGGGAGAGCGCGCTGAGAGAGAGAGGGAGGATTGTGATGTGAACCAATGAGATCACTCTCCACGCTGCATGAGCCAGCATTTCCATCCAAAACAAGGCACAGCCTAGGAAAATCACGGCTTTTTTACCGTTACATCTGACTCTGTCTTTGTAACTTCTTTAAGACTATAGCCCCAATTGCCATGGTAACACAACACACATCTGCCAGCGATTCCAAATACTACAGCGCTGTATGGTTTAACCCTTCAGGGCTCACATTTCCCTATACTGCCTGCACCAGTTTGGGGTTTATTTTGCAGAAATACTCCTCTAAAAAGTAAGAAGTATTTTAACTTTTCACAGCTTCACTCCCAGCTGAAACTGTTACACCTTTATCAGTTACAATTCCTTATCCGGGGAGTACAAAATTACGGCTGTGCTGTCCACATGTACTCCTCTGCCTTCATACAACAAAAAAGTACTTCCATTAACAGTTCACAAAAGCTAATGATTTAACAAATGCAAACCACAAAAAGCTTGGGGGTGAGGGATATAGTTCCATTTTAATACCTTTGCTTGCATGTTCATAACACATAGAGACGTGTCATTCATCAAATGGACACTAAAATAATTTAACAAGGGTTTAGGCCTATTTATCCCTATTTCATATCCTGGAACACTGGCAGTCCACAGTCCCAGTGTCACTGAGATTAGGGAGGGGAGGAAGGGATGTGCTCCATGCTTCTCTGTAAAGAGAATTGTTCCATGCTATTTCACACTGAACCAAGGGACAACATGCTGGCTTCCTGAGGAATCGCGGACTGTCACTGTACTGCTCTTTGCACAGAAATGGTTTCTCTTGTGACCCCACCACACCATGAGCAGGGTTTATCAGGGCACTCTCTTCTTCAGCTTCTTTAACTTTAGTTATCTTAATTAATCTTATAATTTAAACTCTTCTGTATTAGTCTAGGTCAGCCACCCTGAAGCAACACAGAGTTTGTGGATTAGCAGCGCACCATGAACAGATTAGCATCTTCACAGCCTAATTAATTGTGAATTATTATTCACAAATAATTTGACTGGTACTGTCACTTGCACATGAGCTGCTCATACACCACTCCCACATCACCCTGCCAGACGTCTCAGGTTGAAATTCCCTCTTATCTCAAGACAGAGGTTGCTCTGTGTGGACAAGGACAGCTCAAGTATCTGAAGAAGCGGCCCAATGCGCAGCAAAGACACATCCCTAAGGCTGCTTGGACTTGGGTTAGACCTGGGCATGACAGCCCCAATGTGAGGACTGAAACCAAGTCAAGAGGCCCCCAGGTGAACACCCCAAACAGTACCTACAGCCCCAGAAACTGACTACAGTGGTCTCTCTAGATGATCCAATGCACAAACTAGAATTTTGGATAACTTTCACACAAGATTATTCCACTTGATTGTTCCAGGACCAAACATGGTGCCAGTGCTGATTTAAGCACACACACTCTAAAGGCATATAGAAAACCGATCCACTCTGGGGAATGGCAGGAGTTTTGGACACTCTGGCAGTGTTCTAATGATTACCCAATTAGAGGTGACTAACAACAACATCAACGTGAAATAGGACAGTCGTGTTCCTGGCCGGCTGACTGCGGAGGAGGAGCTGTGCCAGGAGCTATTGATGGTCTTTGAGGAGGTATTAACTTCACTGAGTTCACTGAGGTGAACACAGTAAGAACCTGAAACCTATCCAGTGGGTGGGGGGACAGAAATTTGGGTCTAAATTTAAAAAAAACCCCAAAAACCCAGAAACTCAGACTCTGAACTGCTCTTGATTTTTATGGAAAACTCCTTCTGGAGATATCAGATTCCAGAGAGAAGCGTTGAGGCGAGGGGAAGCTGAATGAGTTTGGCACAGACAGCTGTGGCCAGCCTGATCCTGCAGCTCAGGAATCTGCTTCTCCACCTCACATTTAGCTTAGTGCACAGTTAGGTCAGAGTGAACTACCTTAAGAGGATACGGAAAAGCAGAGGAAATTACATTTCCACATATGACAACCAGCTGTATGAGGAATACTTTCACCAAAACAACGGCATGCCCTTGAGCCCTAAGGAAGGAAAGCAAAGAGCTGCCCAGGGAAACAAGTTCCCAGTGGCACGCCAGACTTACCGTGGTGATGGCGTTGGGCTTGGCCCCGTGCTGCAGCAGGACGTTGATGATGTGAGTGTGGCCTTGCTGAGCAGCCTGGTGAAGAGGGGTGTACCCATTCTGTTGTCCACGGCGGTGACAGCAAAAGCAAACAGAGAACAAGAACCCATCATCAGATCAGACGTTTCACTTTGCTTCCTTCTGCTCCTTTTCAGATATTTCAAACGTAAATTATGACACAAATCGACCCAAAAATAATTCTCCTTCGGTAATAATAATTCTCCTTCCCCAGATAAATGAAAATATAAAGGAAGGTAATATTCGTATTCAAAAATAATTTCTCTCACAATAAAAGAAATCTATGAAAAGACATTTCTCCCCCATTTTCTAAATCAGAGGAAGGAACAATGTGGAACAGCAAAGTTAAAGGGGCACTCTGAGGGCACAGAATCACAGCTGAGGCAGAGAACATTCCTCGTCCTCTCACATCCTAGTTTTCAACAGAGGGCCCAAGATTTGCCTTGAAAATACCCGAGTTAATTTAAAAAACACATCATTTTTAACAGCAGTGATTAAAGCCTATTTGCTTTTTAAAAAGCTAACAACAAATACCTACTACAAATGTCAATCAACTTTACCTTCTCTTTGCCCCTAAAAGGCTGGACCAAGCTGTAATTACACTTAGAAACTTGTACACAGTGTCTACCTTAATAAACACGCTTAGTTCAAGATACTCATCCGCTCCAGTGGCTTGCTCTTGTGTCACACAGTACAGAAACACAACCAAAGCGTGCTTAAGCTGGCTGATCTGAGATGGTATTGTGTAAGTCCAGTCAGGCAACTGATTTACAAAATTATTTGCAACTGGCTTTGCAAGCAGGCAGAGAAGAAATTGGAAGAAAACCCCAGGTTGATCTCACTGTAGCCTTATGTAATGCCTGGGGCAGGCTCTGAAAACGTGCTCTGAGAGTTCTCGCAGAGCTGCAAACAAATAGGTGCCAGCAACGCTTTGCACTGCTAATTAGACACTGATTGATAGGTCAGAACTGTTAGGGCTCTTACACTGACAGTGTGAGTGCATGGACTGCTAAGAACTACTGCTTACTGCAGGTTCTAGTGGAAAGTAGATTCACTACCTTTACCTGAAAAGTGCAGTCCTTCAAGAATAGAATTCATGTGCTTCTTTGCACAAAGCACCGTGGAGGCTTTCTCTAATGAAAGCCCAAGCTGCAACAGGGATTCTTTGTTCTTTACCATGACCATCCTGAGTTCAGGATTTACTCTTTAAACTGAGTCCACAGCACCACTTGACAAATTGCCAGTATTTTTAGTGGTCCCTAGGTGTGAGATTTTGGAGAGCTGCTTCCTTATACAAACTTGCTGACTATAATGAAACTATTCTAAATAACTAAAATACCTTGGTGAATGGAATCATAATCTGTCCCACTGGCCCTTTAAACACAAAAGAGACCTAATCCTGAAGACACAACTTGGTCTGTCCCTTGAGTTAGCCTCCAAATACGTCATCTGAACGTCTTGGCAGCTGTAGTTTGGATCCCACTAGTGCCTGGTTTACTAATTCTCATCAGCTGTTTTTCTAGTAGTGTTGCCTGTCCTTTCAGAATCCCTGAGTTTTGCCCATTGATTCTGGCAAATCCCACGAGGGATGGGCCAGAATCTTTTATTTATCTACTTGGCTCTTTCTTACCACATTGAGCTGTGACCACAGTGACAAATAATGCTACTCTGAGAAATGAATCATCCAGTAGGCCCCAGCTGGGGACAAGGGAGCTGACCAGTGGGACCAGCAGAATACAAGCCAGTGATTTTGATGGGATTTTAAAAATACTATCAGTGGGCTGCTTCCTGTTGGTCCCAAGATATGCAGCTTAAAGCCAATAGCCAGTAATTGCCTCAAGTCAGCTTTAACCAGGCTGGAGCCCCACAGCTCCTGAGTTAGCATTCTCTTTCTGATAACAGTGATGTGATGATTTCTGGGATGCAACACACACTGCTGCTGCCATCAGAACCTCTCTTTGCATTCTCAGAAGACACACAGCTTTTGCCACAAAACGCATCCCATCCAGCTGTTGTGCCCACCAGTTTATCCCTGGAGAAACTGCTGAAGTCAGGGAGCTTTGTTCAGACTTTGGCTACAGGTAGTCAGGCCTGTTTCAGTGTATCTGGTCAGATTTCAGCACAGATTCCCCTCAGAAAACCCCAAACTCTCCCTGAGTAAACCACATTCCCTTAGCACAGCTGCTTCCTCTCCCAGAGTCATCCCACCCACACACTGAACAGCAGCAACCCTTCCCACTCTTCTCCCAGCATACTGGAGAGAACCTGGCATCACCCTCAAAGTGTCTGAATTGTTACTTGCTAGTTTGGCAGCACAGTGGTATTACAGTGGTGTAAACCACGCGGAAATGAGGTCAGGAACAAAATTCCATTTGCTAGTTTGCAAGTAATAGGAAAAAGAAATATCAGTTAAATCGATAGTCTGTGTCATTTTTCATACACACAGAGTTATCTGGCTTTTCTTTCTTGAACACCACACTGTGGGAGGGAGCAGACAGAGGGCATTCCATGACAGCTACCATAGGCAGACACCTCCCATGCCATGGTTAGAATTCCCAAGGGAAAAAGCACATATGTCACGGAGGAGTGCTGGGTTACCAATAAAGAGCAAAAGCAAAGCAATGGAAAATTCTTTACCTTTGTTTTAGCATTGACATTTGCTCCGTGCTTGAGGAGAAAATTCACCATTTTGATGTTTCCATAGTGACAGGCCACAATTAAAGGTGTATAACCAAGCTACAGGAGGAGAACAAAGAAGTAAAACTGCAAGCTCAGTGGAACATTCCTTGGACAAGGGTAGCACCCTTTGGCATGCTGGAGACAGCAGCCACTCCGTGATTTACCTTTGTCTGAGCATCCTGGTTTGCACCGTGTTTGGTGAGGATTTCGGCTACATTCACTTTATCCTCTTGAGCTGCAAGGTGCAACGATGTCAGTCCAGCCTGGAGATGGAATATAACAAGTAAGTAAACAAACAGATAAAAGTAAGAATAAAACCCTACTTTATGTAAGGAAAGAAATCTAGACTTTCTCACTTGCTCATCTTTAAAACATGATCAGATCCTAACTATAGCTCCTGAATATGGGTGGTGTTTTTAAACAAAGTAGAGTGGATGTCACTCCTGTTCCAGCTGACAAACAGCTCCAAAACAATTATGCCACCGTAACCATAGAGGGAAACTTTCAGGCATGAATGCTCAAGATTTTCTATGATAATGCCATTTGGGAAGCTGAGAATCCCATTAATAAAATGTGCTTCCCACTCCTCAGACAGAAAGGGGAACCTTGACAACTGCAGGCATGAGCCAGATGAAGACATGAACTCCAGAAATAGATCCCATTCTTTTTTGCCAGGGAAAAGGATGCAGCCTTTAACTGACAGCTCACTGCAATCACGTGCAGTGCTTTCCTGTGAGCAAGGCACGGAACAAATTTTGTACAAGAAATGAAAATCACCTTGTTTCTATTAGCAGAATTTATCAACTTCATGCAATGAAATACCTGAGCCTTCTCTTCTAACTTACATGAGCAAAAGCTGCAGGCTTCCCATCTGCATAAATAAGATTTGCATACATGCCTGGATAAACCCAGTGACCCATGAAGATTTACAGTAATGGTTTGGGGGTTTTTTTATGGCTTTGTTTTCTGTAAAAAAGCTGTCATGCAGAACCATTAAAAAAAAACTTGGAGAGGTCTTCCACAGAATTTTTCTTATTCTACTCCGGTAATGCGGTTGTTTTCTTATTTGCCAGAGAATGTAAATTTCTTCACTTACCACTGAAGGATAAAGACATGTGGAATAGAGCCTTTGCTGGTGAGAGCACTGAATTATTTCAGACTGGATCTCTCAGGTTTCTGGTACAGGTTGTTAAACCCACCCACGGACACCAATGTTGCATCTTACCCACCCACAATAGTTCCCTTCCAATTGTCAATTACCTTTGTTGCCACGTGGATGTTGGATCCCTTCTCCAAAAGCAAAGTCACCATGTCAGTGTGACCCTCCTGGGAGGCCAGATGAAGTGGGGTGACTCCCTGCTTGGTCAAAATGTTGGTCTCAGCCCCGTAGTTCAACAGAGTGGTAGCTATCTGCATCTGGTTTTTCTTGGCAGCGATATGCAGAGGGGTGTATCCATTCTGACACCAGACAGGAAAAAAAAAAAGGAAAATCAAGTCACCACAACAACCATGGAAGCCTGAGAAGTCAGGCACCATGAAACAGTATTATTTGATGTTACACCTGCTATTAGAGATGAGAGTTCATTAAATTTTCAAGGCCAGACATGTCCCACATGGGCCTGCTGTTGTGTTGCTTTGTCCATCTGTTATTTTCATCACCTAAACCAGAATAAAGCCAGTCTTCACCACAGTGGGCAGGACTGTTCCACCAATACCTTCAAACTATTCCAAGTTTGACACCTACATTTTGTACAACCTATGTTGCAAATAATCCCTTTTGACTGGTGAGTGACATTCCCTGTGGTGAGGGATGGGTGCACACCCTTCACCACATTATGCTTTTTCAGAGGATGTGGGTAGAGACATGCATATGGAATTTTGATCCATTTGTGCCAGTCACAGGCTGGAAACAGCAAAGGGGTGCAATGTTTTTGTGATCAAATTAATAATTTAAGCACAGAAGAATGGTATTTTCTGGCACTAAGACAACTTCCTAATTGCTTTAAAACACATTGTGAACGAAAAACCCCAGGTGCCAGCACACAGGTGCTGTGGGGGGTGCTTGATTGGGTTGGCCTGTGGCTGTTTCGTTGGGTTTTTTTTCAGTCTGAGTTTCCCAAACTATCCTGCTTTCCATGCACTGCCATGGAAACCACATTCCCAATGCAATCCCTGAGCATTTCCTGAAAGCCTGCAGATCAGCAGCCTTGCACAGGGCAGGACACTCTCTGGTATCGTGCCCATCTGGTCACCATTTCCCCCTTTCATCAGCTTTTGCTTTGCACAGCAGTAGCACAGCACACTCCTAAACCCCAGAACGACTTGTGTGCATGGTCACAACACACATTTCTAAAGTCACTGCTAATATCACACAACAGCGAGGTGACTTTCAGCTGCAACCAAAGCTCTGACGGGGCTGGGTCCCCTCAGGGCTCCGGGGTCCCCTCAGGGCTCCCGGGTCCCCTCAGGGCTCCCCTCCCTGCACAGTGATACCACACCACTACTCCTAACCCCGGAATAAAATTTCTAATGTCATCGCTAGCACTGCACAATACTGAAGTGACTATTGTCACATCCAGCCGTGACTAAAACTCTGCAGGGACCGAGTCCCCTCAGGCTCCCCTCAGGGCCGCCCTCACCGACGCAGCGACACCACGACACCACTCCCAAGCCAGCAATGCGCTCATCGTTCCCCGTACGCCCGGCCAGAACACACATTTCTCAGGGCACCGCCGAGGCTGGAGGCGAGGAGTATTAATAAGACGAGGGATGAGGGCTGCCCTGAGGGCGGGCTCACCTTGGCGGTGGCGTGAGGCGAGGCGCCCTTCTCCAGCAGCAGCAGCGCCACCTTCTGGTTGTCGTAGTGCGCCGCCACGTGCAGCGGGGTGAGGCCGTTCTGAAAGGGCGGGCACGGCGTTAGGGCGGCGGGACACGGCATGGAGGACACCGGGATGGAGGACACCGGGATGGGGGGCTCCAGGGGTCAGGGGGAGCGGGGAGGGACTGGGAGGGGGGAAATGGGGGTGGAGAGCAAGGCCATGGCAGGCAGCTAGCTGGCTGTTAGTGGGGAGAAGCAGCGTACCGGGAGAACCAGGGTGGCGGCTGCAGGCTTTCTTCACGCCGCGCCAGGGGAAACCTGGGCTTTGCGCCTGTGTTTATCCATTGGGAATTTAGGCAGCTTGATGGAACCGGTGCTTCCTGAGCCACAGACACACTCCTGCCCTCAGAGCAGCCGTGTGCCCTTCCTGCCATGGACCCAAACTCAACGTGCTGGGTGGTAGCAGCACTCTCACCCAGGGGAGGAGACGCGACCCCAACAAAGCCACGGCCACCATGCAAAAGCAGCCGCAGCCTTTTTTAGGGTGGATATTTCACGCAGTTCCTCCTTCAGGAAGAATCCAACACACTAGTGAATTTTTCTTCCCCAGCAGTACCTTGCCAGCAGAATCAGGACAGGCACGACGCTGCAGCAGAAGCTTTGCCACCTCCAGGCTCCCGTATTTGGCCGCCACATGCAGCGGTGTGAATCCCTTCTGAAAAATTCCAGGGGATAAAACACAGATGTTTGTGTTAAAGGTCACGCTGACATCTCTTGTGTAAGAACCGTGTGTTAAGCACTTAGTCTTCAACATCAGAATCGACAGCGAACCTAGAAGGAACAGCCTGCCTTGAAAACGCTTTGGGAAGCATAAAATACAAGAAAATACATTCCCTTTTATTATTTTTCCCTACTTATGTGCTCTCGGGCTGGCAGACATTTTATATGATACAGACTGTACTAGCAACACACAATGCGTGGGGGCAATGAAGGCACTTCTTCAAATTTACACCCCAAACCAGCTGAATTTTTTTTTTTTTTGTTCCATGATGACAGCTTTACAAGTATTTCCTGCACCAGTCGTTGCCAGTAACAGTGAAACACCAATTAAATTAATCTGAAAAAAAAACCTCTGAACTCCAATTCCCTTCCTCCAGCAGGGTTTGGTGAAAAATTATTTTTTCTTGGATTTGTGTATTCATACAGTCACAAAGTTCTGCTGAAGCTAAAAAGAGTCCTTCTCTTTGCATGATTTAATTAAAAAAATTGGTAAGGAAAGCTCAGGAATGTATGACAGTAGGTGGCAGCCTGCACCGCTGCCTGACAGCAATTTTGGGAAGCTGCAATGACCTATTTGCCTGGCATATAAGTGATGTTGAATGTTTATTATCACTATCATTTAGTTCCAACTAATTCCTCCTCAGAAAGAGTTTATATTGGGTAATCTCAAACATTTTCCGTTCACAAATCGCAGGTCTATAAAGATATTATCTAGTGGGCTCCATCTTCTCCTATTCATAATTACAGAACGTTCCTGCAATACTAATTGCCATCAAGCAATACGGGAAATTAGGAAAGTATTTAGTGTATTTTTAGCCATTCTAATGTGATTTAACAGCTGGATAAAAGGAGAACAGCAAGCCCTCCCAGTAATCCATGGATCATAATTTGAAAATTGCTGGTTTAGTCTTTTAAACCCTAGAAGATATGCCGTTGTTCATAAACATGTTTTAAGCTCCAGCTGTAAAACCAAGGGTGCTTTTATAAATACTGAAAATTACGTGATTCTCCCTTACCAAAATGCTTTAAAATCGGAAAAGATATCTCGGTATATAATTCTCTTCACAGCTATCTGCTTTCTTACATATTCATCTCTCTGTTAGGAATATGTTGGTACCATTTTTGGCTAAAAAACTCACTAGTGATTCTGGAGAGCATTTCTTTTATAATCCCAGACAAAATGGCCTGTTGTGTCACATGGCACCTCATTTTAGAACCACTGAAAATAGATCCAGCATTCGATGGGACTAGGCAGATGCTGACTTCTATGTTTTAGGAACAGTCCTTTCAGCTAGCACAGGGCAGAATTACTTTGATATTTAAATAAATAAGGTATTGAAGAATAAAAGGAGGCCTGTTCATAAAAAAAAAAAAAAAATGTGTCATTGTCATCCGCTTTTTCATTTTTGGAAATTCTGCCCAAAAAAAAGCTGTGCCTGTAAGACAAAGGGAAAGGGAGAAACAAGGACATTTTAAACCTGCTGGGACTGTGTATTTATCAAGATCCACATTTGGCTTCAATGGCAAACTCAATTTTAGATGACAGCAAAGTTAAAATTTGATTAACATGTGACACATTACTCCAGTCTGCCGGACTGCTGCCGATTAAACAAGAACACAACAAAAGGCCCAAACCACTTCCCATTTCTCAGTGTGCAAACACACTCATAGGGGTGTGCAGAGTTCTGCCTGACCTTGGTGGACATGGAGTGTGAGGCGCCCGCCTCGAGGAGCACGGAGGCGACGTCCAGCTGCCCCTCCCGGGCAGAGATGTGCAGCGGGGTGTAGCCATTGGTGGTGGCGGCGTCGGGGTGGGCCATGTGCTGCAGCAGCAGCTGCACGATCTCCGTCTTGCCCAGGCGAGAGGCGATGTGCAGCGGGGTCTGTTCTTCCTACAACTCAAATCGAGTGTGTCATTAGCGCTGGGGAGCCACCCCATGAGCACAGCGTCCTCTCGGTCCCCACACACCTTCCTATGCATTTGTCTGGCAGAGTCATGGGAAGTGATAACAGGAAAAACGGAGTAATGGAGGAGAGGAAGGTGGTGGGTGATGCCTTCAGCCGTGGTTTTAAGAGGGGAGAGAAACAGCATTGTAAGCAGAACACCTACCCTGGCTCGGGCATCAACCAGGGCCCCGTTCCTCAGCAGGCAGCGAACCACTTCCACCTGCCCGGCACGTGCTGCCATGTGCAATGCGGTTTCTCCACGCTGCGGGAAAGCAAAAGCATTTCAGTGTCCTGAACTTCCATGAAGAAAGATCTTTGCCAGTGTCAGTCCCACCCATGACAACTGACACTGGGACCCATCCTCCTGCCGGCTGAGACCCTGTCTTCAGCCCCGGGCTGGGGTGTGAGTACCTGTCACTGTGCCTGGAAATGCCCTGGTCTGCCATTTGGCCAATCCCAGACAAACAAAGCCTTAACACCACTGAGAGAATGAAAACCCCAGCTTGGGAAAATTCTGTCAGATAGACTTGCCCTGGACACAGATGTCCCTCAGCTTTCTGCGTGACGTGGCATCGGCTCGTGTGCCGCACAGGAGATGAGGGCACACTGAGCCTGGCTCTCTCTAGGGACCGCACGGCGCAGGAGCCTCAGGATGGATATTTTTCCAGGGATATTTTTCCAGATGGTCCCTTCCTGCACACTGTGTGGAGCTGGCAGCATTAAGAGGCCTTGCAATGGCTGAGCACAACTCAGCCAGCGCATGAAATGTGTGAAATCTGTACTCAGCGGTGTGGCTCTGGGCTGTGGAATCAATCTTCTTTCAAGCCTTTTGTAGCTCACAGAATCGGAAAAATAGGAAATTTTGGAAAGCTGACTGAAGTGATATGCAATTTCAGATTGGGAATATTCAAAGCATTTTACTTTTTGCATAGGTTTTCAAAGAAACACTGAAAATGAGGATTCCTTGAGGGCAGCTACAAACCCTCGTCACCCGCAGTTAACTCAGCTTGTCATTTTTAAATTAACATTGTGTTACCAGCTGTGATTAGTAGGTATGCAACAAAAAAAAATCCCACAGCCCTAATCTTAATAATTCCATCATATATAAAGTTTATTATCTGAAGAACAAGCTGTTTAATAAGTGAAAAACACTCTAAAGATCAAATTTCTGCAATGACCCTTTTGTGCTTGAATTAGCAAAGTAATTTAGGTTTTGGAAACCGTAATTTGACAGGGAATCTCAGCTTACCAAGTGAAAGCCAAGGCACCTGTGTAGCAGAAATTGCAAAGTGTTCAACTTCTCACACAAATGCCTGGTAACACAATATTTTTAACTGCTTCCACGAGACTTCCGTGTTGGTTTTTTTTATTATCAATAAAGTTCTTGTATAAAGATTGCTTCAATGACAAAGTATGAAAAGTCAGTTTTAATGAGTCACGTAAACAATTCTGCGTGCTAACTATTGCACTGGGTTCCATGCAAGATTTTTCTAGCTGAGAAAAACTAATGAGTCCAGTGTACCAGGATTATTAAATTTTTGTTGTTGGGAGCACTTACCTATAACCTTACGTGCTGAAAAAAGCTACTTTCCAAGAATAGGTGGTCCCAAGTTGAATATTTGTTTATACTGACAAATTCAAACAGTAAAATATCTTATGAAATATATCTCAGAAAATTATAATGCTGTTTCTGTTGTTGGTTTTTTATTTTGTAACTAGGCTGTTGGTATACAAACACTGATTTCTATGGTAAGTCAGGTTCTGCATTTTGTGTTACATCCCAAAGGTCACATTTTCCAGATTTAATCACCAGTTCCTGGAATTTCCTGTCTAAGAGGAACATTCTGAGTTTCCCAGTTTGGCTTTTTGTTTAATTGTTGGGGTTAAAGCATAATGAAAGCATTTTATACTCCTTCGCTGACAGGAATGACACAATTTCATGGCAGCCAGCGAAGTTTTGCAGGCAGAAATTAGAGCCATTTGGACTTTACTTCCATCCCTCAGAACAGAAACACAGACTCTGTGGGATTTGGCTTATAATCCAAATTTTGGATGTTTTTGGTGAGCTTTGTCTGTTTCTAAGGAAAACTTCACCTACTTGAGCATCGTTGTAGAACACATGAAACCAGAGATGGCTTACAACTCATGCAGCAGCCACCACTTTCCCCTCTTCACTAAAAACTCTACAATAATTTGCCCTGAAGGGCAACAAAGAATCATTAAAATGTGACCTTGGGCTGAGCTAGGTGGTAACCAAGGGACTTGGAGTGGGTCCTGAGCAGATGTTTCCAGCAAAAGCCATACTCACAATGTTAGTGACATCGGGAGAGGCTCCGTTCTGCAGCAGGAGGAGGACTATGTTCAAGTGGCCCATAAATGCAGCCACGTGTATTGGTGTGAGGCCCGACTGCGAAACAAAGCAAGAGCAGTTTTACTCCTCTGCACGGCTGGAGGGACGGGCTTCTTCGTTTGAATGAAACACATGGGAGAGTGAGGCATGACAGGAGAGAAGGAAAAAGGAAGCGAAAAAGGAGAGAGAGAGAGAAAGAATGTGTCTGCAGGACATGAAACATTTTGCTACCTCTGTTATAGCCTGGATTGAAGCCCCATATTTCACCAGGAGTTCCATGACTTTGATGCGATTTTTCTTGCAGGCAATGTGCAGTGGAGTAAAACCATTCTGTGCAAAAGACAGTGATGTTAGTTAGGAACATGCAGCTACGCTTCCCACACAGCTCCATGCTGGCACAACGGGAGCACAAGGGTTAGACTACCACAAGCAACTCTTCTTCAAACACAACAGGTTACCAAGTACAGACATCCCCTGCTATCTGAGGCACAACAAAGCAGTGCTGCTGCTTTCCTCCCAGGCAGGGCAGAGGAAGGGAACCTCCACCTCCACACTTCACACAGAGATCTGCCCGTCCTGACTGCAAGTGTGTGTGTGTGTGCTTCCTGAGGCCGCACACGTGTCTGTGAGGAGAGCTCCCAGTGCTTCCCAAGGCTGCCTAACACAAAGGAAATCTAAGAAATTACAGTGAATGCTTTAGAACCAGTGCCTTTATAAAGCGTTTCCTGTGCCTCTCTAGGAGAATCATGGAAGGTTTGGGTCAGAAAAGCCCATCTCGTTCCACCTCCTACCACGTGCAGGGACACCTTCCACTATCCCAGGTTGCTCCAAGCCCCATCCAGCCTGGCCTTGGACACTTCCAGGGATCCAGGGGCAGCCACAGCTTCTCTGGGCACCCTGTGCCAGGGCCTGCCCACCCTCACAGGGAAGAATTTCTCCCTAATATCCAACCTAAATCTACTCTCCTTCACATTGAAGCCACTTAAACTGAGAGAGAGAGAGGAACCGAGTACTTCTTCCAGATTCCACCTTAAAATGTCTTTTTACTTGAAATCTAAGGAACTGTGTGCATTTCTGTTTATACATCAACCTCAGGTGTAATATCCACGTTTGTATGTGCGTGTACACATTCTGAGGTACCTTAAATTAAGAACCACCCCTTCAGCTCTGGTGTCATGATAATCTGATGACAGTTAATGCAGGTTAAGAGCGTGTCTGAAGATGAACAAACACATTATTCACTGCATGTGAACATTTTAGTGAAAAGCACAGGTAACATCTTTTAGACAATGTTGAAAAATTGCTACATTTCCTAATGAAGAGATCAGTATTGCCAAACAATCAACCAGCAGTAACCAGAACCTAGCAGTGAAATCTTAGTTTATGGGAAGAGAGAATCATGTGACAATTATTCTACAGCCTGCTTCTGTTATAGGAAATGTTAATTCTTAGTTCATTTGAGGGTGCTTTAAAGCATATACACACTGAAAAAGCTGAGAACTCACATAGTGCTTGTATCCCCAAAGCATTTTGCAAACATTAGCAATTATTTTTTTTTAAATGTAGCTGAAAATGAATTTTTTGTAATACTTATCCCATCACTGAGCTCTGCTGAATATTACTGTTTCTACAATTTCTAAAGAAGGAATCAAAACCATTTGATATTTTACCTCCCCCACAATATCTCTCAATATATTTCATAGGGAGTTTTACTGTTTCAGAAGTTTCCATTTTTTTCACTGAATTTCACCACCTCAGTTGATTTAATTTTGCTTCTTCTATTTAAGTGAGGAACAGTTTGACGGGGAAGAGGAGAAGGCAGGAAAAAAATGTATCACTTACAAAAATCATGAGCTTCATTTAATATATTAAATACTATTAACAAGCCAAAGGCGACAAGTCCCTGATGGCAGAGAGAGAGAAAATGAGGAGGGGAGGAGGAGAGGGGGGGGAGAAAACCAGTTTGGTGGCAAGAGAGCAGAGAGGCAACAGCCTGAGGGTGTTCTCCTTTTGTTTCAGATGTTTCACTGAGGGAGGGAGGGAGGGAGGGAGGCATGGAAGGAGGGGAGCAGAAGATATATTTCTGGTCATGGAAGGAAAGAAAGAAGATGTAGGGGCTATGTGTGGGTAGCTGAGGAAAGTGCAGCTAGAGATAATCAGAAGACTGGCAAGGAAAAAAAACAAGGATGAAAACAGTGTCAAACAAGATCAACCAAGTGAGCACGGCACTGAGAAAATCAAAACAAGAAAAGTGTAAGAGCAGGAAGCAAAAGGGGCTATGGGATTTTTTGGTATGGAAAAGCCAAGAGAAATGAGAGGGCAGAAGAAAATGGTGTCAGTTCCAAGGAAGTAAAGGACAGGGGGAGCCTGCAGAGGAAAACAGTGGGTCCTAGTGTGGGCAGGAAGGGGGGAAGGCATGCGAGTGCCCTGCAGTGGGGATTCTGTGGAGGCCCCAGGGGCAGAACTCCGGCCATGCAGGAGCATCTCAACTGTTCACAGACTCTTTTTCTCCCTGACTGAGTGCAATATATTGGTACATGAACTCCCAGCCAGCTAACAGTTCCTAGTAGAGAAAACTGTCATCTTGTCTGGCTTTGGATACATTAAAGACTCTCAAAATGTTTCCAGAGTCAAATGTGATGCTTTTCTCCTTGTTAGGGGCAGTGGTTTGATCAGTGAGTAAAAGGAATCATACCTGGTGTCCTGTAACCATAAAACCTGTTTTTTGAAAAGAAAGGAAAATGGCACCTAATAGAGGAAAATGTCATCATTTGATAAATGCAGAAATACTAGCTTTACAATATGTTTTCCCTATGCCAACTGACTCACTAATTCAGTTGAAATCCCAGAAATTAGATGTGTGTCGTATTACCTGGTACAGAAAACTGAACCACTAATTCAGTAGAACACCAATGCATACATCAACATCAACCAGAACAAGCCCTGATTTCAGGGACTCTGCAGAGCTTCCAGACCTGACACTACAGCCACTTGCCACGGGGCGTGTTCCGTGACCAGGCCTAAGGATATAAGGCACAGCACTGGACATCCCTGTGGCTACTGCACCTACTTAAGGCTTTGTGGAGTTTGCTGACACCTCTCACTTGGCTTTCCTGCTAAGAGCTAGCAGCCAGCTTTGTTACACGCCCCAGGTGGGACAGGTTTACCAGGGCACGGGCGTTGGGGTTGGCTCTCTTGTCCAGCAGGAGCTTGGTGACGCGGTAGTGGCCGCAGTGAGCGGCCACGTGCAGGGCAGTCAGGTAGTCCAGCGTCACGTCGTCCACGGGAGCCTTGTGCTGCAGCAGGTGCTTGACACATTCCACGTGGTCCCCCTGGGCTGCCATGTGGAGAGGGGAGAGTCCATTCTGTGACAGAAGAGAACAGAACAGCAGCTTCCAGTAACCCTCATTTAAGACTGTGGCGCATCAAAGAATCAACATTTGTTGTTGTGAGGTGCTGCTCAGTGAGCTCTGCTATTGTACAAATATCTTCCTCTCATTAGTTTCACCAAACAGACCGAATTTGTAGGAAATGCCTTAATTTTATATGAATGTTTTTATATGAAAGTTTTCCAGATGTGAGGAAGAACACACCAAAATAATTTTCCTAGTAAAAAAAAACCCATAAAAACAATTAGGAGAAACGATCCTCATTATCATATATGGGGGCTCAGAAAATCTGTACCAGGAATCACCTCATAAGTGACTGACCCAGCTTTTTTTGTGCACTACAGTCTCAGGAAGAAACACAAAGTAAGTGCTGGCAGTAGCACTCCACATCATGTGTTTAGAGTGATTAGTAGAGAGAGGGGCAAACAGGAGTACGCTTGTCATATATTTGGAAAGGATTATGTAAGGAAACCTTATTTTGGGTCTTTCTACCCATTAATACATCTCCTTTGGGAGGACAGTTACATTCCTGTCTTCCTCCTCGTCCTCTCAGCGACACTGAAAGCTCTGTGGAAGGTTACAGAGGTGTTCCATACCCTGACAGGACACACACACACACCTTGGTCCGTGCCAGCAGTGGGGCACCTCGCTCCAGGAGCAGCTCCACAACCTGGTCGTGGCCGCTTCGAGCCGCACAGTGCAGTGGTGTGAGTCCATCCTTGAAGTAAAAGGAGAGAAAACAAATGAGGACAACCCCAACTGTTTGTCCTGGCACTCTGGGGAACAACCTGCCAGGAATGCAGCCCCCACACGTGTGAAAAAGCTCCTGTTTTGACTCCTAACTGAAACTGGCTGCACAGCACCAAGTTTCATCCCTGTTCTTCCTTGCACCAGGTAAAGGACACTCTAAGGTTACTGATGGAGAGAGGAAGCCTGTTGTGTGCTGAAATCTCCTCTCAAAGGATAATTGTGAGGGTGCACTGCCTCCTCCCCTCCCTCCCTTCCCTCTGCATGGCTTTGAGATTGCGTTGCCTCTCCCTGGGTGATGCCTGCTGGGTTGAGGATGCTGTGTAAAGCAACCCATGTCCTTTGGATTGCTTTTGATGTGGGGATGAAACAAGAGATGCTCGTGCTAGAAAATCTGCTCTAGAATTTTCTTTTGCTTTTAAACAGGCATCAAGATAAATAAGATTTTAAAACAAGAGAAAAAGAGAAATAAACAGAACCAAATCTTTCATTTCTAAGATTGAGGGGTTAACACAGAGCTAACAATTATTTTCTAAAATTGCTGTCAGACCACCAACTCCACAATAGTTTTTTCCATTGCAGAACACCATTCTCTACCAAAAGTCTTGCTCACAGCAGTGGTAGAAAAAGATGTGTTGATGAACTATTTGGATGGGAGAATGAATTCTAGGTAGCTTTTGTATAGTTTGGACTTGATGCAGAAAAATAGGTATGAGGCTAGAAAAATAGTTGTGAAAGAATATCAGTGCTGAATGACACAAAAAGGTAACAGGTAGGATATGAAAAACCAAGTTTTCATCTCATTAGCCCTCAGTATTGTTCAAGCAGGCACTCAGAGTTGTCATCAACACTCAACAGAGGTGGCTTTACAAAGCTGAAATGGGAATAGTTTTTCATCACAAGAAAAGCCTTTTCCCTTTGCGACACGCTGCTCATCTTGTGTGACATCGATGCTGTTATTCTAAGGAGCCCATTGAAGAACCCAGTAACAGCTTGATTAAAAGGAATTATTCAGAGGCTAAAACAGTAGCAAAACTGCAAAACTATGGCACTAAGGATGAGTTGGTGACCCTGCTTCAGAGGCAGATGGACTGTTTAACCTGCTGGGGTTTGGAGGAAACCTGCAACACCGTGTTTTTTAAATTAAAAGTAGCTCTAGACTACAACAGAGCCGCTACTACAATCTCATTTCAGCAATCACTGCCCTGTAACACCCTACAAAAGGCAGTTCCAAGAAGCAGAGCCTCTCTCATGCCTGGTTTCCAAAGCACAGAGCCCATTCCAAATGAGCAGCACCACAAACCTCCACAGCTGCAAGGAGCTGAAGTCTGCAGGAGGAATTTTTCTCCCTTACTTACCTGCTTTTTCTAGAGGTTTTTGAGACACACTGAAGGGGTTGGGTGTGCCTTGGTGCTCATTGTCTCAGGGGCATCCCTAAATCCCACACAAGATTTGTGCTGAAATCCCACAGATGGAAGGTCAAACCCAAAACCAGAACTTGCAGCCTTTAGCACTGGCAGATGGGCTCAGTGTCAAGAATTATGTGGAACTACTTTACTTGTTTTTCATGCACTGAATCTTCAGAGTCCTCTAAACCAAGTCTTTTTATGACCAGCTGAGGTATATTATCATCTCATTGCCAGAGGAATTCCTTCAGAAAACTCCCACTGGCATTACAAAGGTAAGACTATATCCCAAATGCATTTCTAGCTAAGGTATTTATTTGGTATTTCTTTCCAGTTTCTGGCCTCTTGTGCTCTACTTTTTTAATCAATGTGAGAGGTTCACTTTCCCTATCTGCGTGGTGGCTTTGATGTTACTCTACTTAATAAAGCTGAAAAAAAAAAAGGAAAATTGTGTGAATCCTTGAACAAAAGCAGGGCAAATCCCAAGAGGCAGAACAAGAAGAAAAATATAAGCTAAAAAGCACATCAACTCCACAAGAAAGTCTGGTTAAAACAACAACAACAACAACAACAACAACAAAAACCTAAATAATTAAAAAACATAATTTCTTCTTTGTTCTTATCTACAATTCCCTTTAAAAGCAGACATAGAAATTTGCTACTTATCCTATTCTACCCTGCCATAGCTGTTTTGAGGGCTTCCCACAGAACCCTCTTCCCTTTCCTCTTTATGTTCAGAGGAAAACAGCACATATCTTTTAAAAATATTCTATATTCAGTACTTTATTTTGCTTTTATCTTTTATTCAAAGATGAGGGGAACAGCAAAGAGAGAGCTGTTGCAGTAGAAGAATTAGGAAACAATGCAGACAAGGTGACAAACCAACGCGAGGAGACACACAGGTGTACCAAACTAATCTTTTTTGCACCATTTATCTGTTTGCCAAGAGCCTCAGTGCCCTCAAATCGACTTGAGGAGCTGGCCTAAGCACTTTGTCAATCATTGCTTTGCTAATTAAAGAACATACAGTGACCAGTGCATCAGGCACATCACAGCACATCCAGCTCTGGGTCAGAGGGACACACGCTTGGAAGCACAGATACAGATATCCCTTAAACACAAAGGCTGCCACGCCAGGAGACAAGAAATGCAGCAATTTATGTGGAAAGAAGTTCATCAGTTATCTCCTCACCCCAGATTGTGTGGAGTGAAGAGTTAAATGTTTCCATCTCCCCACTGACATCCCACACCTGGTGTTCTGCTGTTCCCACGTGTGGCACTCTCCTCGCTCACAGTGTGATGTAACCAACAGCTGGGTCACCCTTAGAAATGGCAGTGCAGTCCCCTCTGTGTGCATGGAAGCCAGGAACTTCCTAATAATCAATCCTAATTCTCTTTTAAATGAATCTCAAAATAGAAGTGCTTTTTTTTTTTTTTTCCCTTGAAAACCAATCGCTGGTCATTTTTCAACCTGCAAAATTAATTCTGAATTCCGTGCATGACTCCTAACTGCAGGGCTTAGGAAGATGAGTTATTTGGTCATTTCACAAATGCTTTCTTTCAGCTTAGCAGAGTCACTGAGACAAAAAGAAGCTGTGCTTATGAGGGATTTTTAATGGGAAATGATGTGGGCAGCACATTGACAGGACAGTTGCTCACATTCAGTGCTCATTCGACCAAAAACTCACGATAGACGTGAACATCAAAGGCCAAATTATCAACAAATTGTTCTAAACTGCAGCTGCATCTTCTCATTTTCGTAAGGGTGAAGCAAAACTTTAGCATTTCATATGTCAAACATGCAAAATTGTCTACATTTTCTTGACAAATAAAGGGCTTTTAATTTGTTCATTTTTCATTACAACTAAACCTCATCTCTTTAAAAATGAACGAGGCGAGTCTCCCTCTTGCTCTGAGCTCTTGGCATAATTAAACATGATGTAAAGTATTCCTCCAGGTCTGCCATCCACAGCACAAATTTGAAAAATACAGCAAAAAAATATACCATGTGCTTGCCTGAGTATCAAGATAGTAACACAAATAACTCCAAATAACAGTCATTTTCTGTATAACTGGCTTAGACAATTCTTACAATTCCCCTTCCCACTCCCTTGTAAACATTATATGAAGCCACTGAATTTTTCATAGGGAATATCTGCATTGTGATTAGATATTTATAATCTGACATGGCTTTAGGAACAGAAGAAGCTGCCAATGAATTATTAGTGCTCTGTTCATGTAGGAAGATGGGGAGAAAATGTCACAGCAGCATTACTGCAGGAACAAACACTCCACAGAGCATGGAGCCAAGGCAGGGCCAGGATGCTGCTACAGTGGTTACCACTCCCATGTGCAAATAGCAGAGCCAAGCCTGTTTTGTCAGGATGCAGATGTACAAAAGGAGATATTATTACTAATAAATCTCAGGAGGTTTCCAGAATGACTCTTAAGGGGTGTCTGAAGCACATTAAAAAAACCCAAACCAAACCAAACCTGAGTCGCGCCGCCCACAGTTTCCTTCCTTCTGTTCTCCCACTGGTACAGTCCATCTCCAAGAGTGACCTGCCACTTCTCTCAGCTCCAGCTGAGCCTCCTCCTTTCCGTGGCCCTTCTCCAACCCAAATGGTGGACCAGACCTTCTCCCACCATTCCCACACCTATCCCCGCTCCAGCTCCAGCTGCCGCGCTCCGGGCACGCGGCGCGCTGACTTTCCCACACGATAAGCTTTCCCTTCCAAGACTAGATGCTCTCTTTCATTCCATGGATTTGATTCAATTGTAAATATTCAGGATGAAAGCCTGCAAGAGGAGACTTAAGAAAAGTCCCAGAGCAAGAAGAATCTAATTTCAATATTGGCCAAGATTGAATAGGAAGAACACAAAATGTGTGACAGCTTCAGTGGCTCAGACAGGTGAGAGTGTTCCTCCCTCTCTGAAGGATGTTTGCCTATTCCCACAAAAATGGAAATTCCAGCAAGGTTATAATAGCCTGTGATAAAACTGTATTTTAAAAGAAAAAAAGCATGCAGAACTGAAAAAGCCTCATATTCTTGTTCCTTATTTTTTCCCATAGAATTTAGAGAGAGAGATGATAAAAACAGAGATAATACAACAACTGCATTCACAAAGAATATGCCTGAAACAGCCAGCAATGTTTTCAGGTTCTGTAGATGCATACTGTTATGATTCCATTATATGAGGACTTTTTAAAATAGAAATACATGCATATGGCCATGCTAAAATTGCTTTTAAATGCTGAGGCTAATTCTCCCTGTAAGAATCCTTAGTGTGTTCCAGGGAGGCTGTAAATGTTTTCCTTCCCTCAGAATAAAAACTGGTAATTGCCACATTACCCCTGATCACCTGACAGCGAATTAATCATAAATTAAACTTTCCACCATCTTTCAGAGAACAAATTTCTGCACAATTTTTCTGACCCCTTAACTCTAACTAATCATCAGAATCTGCATGGGTCAGCATTTTGGCCAAACATTAAAATTTCAAATAAAATTATGTCATTGAAGTTCTTAATAATGTAAGAGAATGTATAGAAAATATAGGTTTGAGCAAAATTTTGAATACGAAATATTTCAGTACAGGAAATTTTACCCATTAATTATTTAGTGAACAAAAGTCTGGGGAAGCCTAGTATGTAAATGGAAGTTGCAAAACATATACCAGATACTATATAATAAAATATGTTTAAATATTATTTTCATATTTTATTACCATATAATTATCTACTGCTAAATGTGATATTTTGTTAATATATAATATTATAATACTATCTCTAATGGCTAGTACTAATAAAAGTATCCTACTATTGTATTTGGGAATGTAGTTTCCATTTCTGCTTTGGATACAACATAAAAGAGAAATTAAATTTCACACTTTAAAACCTTAGTTAGGGCTTGGTTGAGAAAAAATGGTAGAACTTGCCAAAAAAATAAATAAAATAATATTTTAAAATATGTGATTGTGGCAAGAGATTCACCAGAATTTTATGGCTTTGTGAGGAATGCCATAAAATTTCAGCAAACACATTCTGAAATGTACAACAAATAAGAATACTAATTCCTGAAGAAAGCAGAGCTTTCCTTTTCATGCTGCATTAACTATAGAACAGCAGGACACACGCATCATTTACTCCCTTTGAGGAACAGACGTTTTAATTTATATTTTTAGACAACCCAGGGGCTCCTAAAGAATCATTCCAATGGAACATTTTCAAACACAGAAAGCTTTCACAGATTAACTTCGCAAAACTGAAGTCCTGAAGCTCATCTGCAATCCGCTAAAACAAGTTTCTGCATCTTAATTTATGCAGCATCAGATGTCACAGAACAAAGCGAGCTAAAAATAAACGGCACGAAAGCGGCGAGGACTGTTTTAACTGAAGAGCTTATTTGGATGTGGTGTGGAGCACAGGAACTTGGCACTGAGACACCCCCAGTACTTCAATTGCGCTGTTTTGCAGTGACTGTGACCTGCTGGAAGAGGGCAGGTGCTGCTGAGAAGCCAAGGGAAGGCAGCAGGGAAGGCAAGGTGTGTTAGTACCGCAGCGGGGCAGGCGGGCTCTCTCCTGCCACGGACAGAGCCCGTGGAACACATCCCTGCCTCCTCCACACCGTACGGACTCACAGCCAGAGCCAGGCACACGGGGTCAGTGGACAGAGCACAGGGAGAAGAGACACACACCCAGGTAACACAAGCGGCTGACACAAAGACATGGACAGCAAAGCCCAACCTCTGGAATCTTGACCGCCACCACGAGCCCTGGAGCAGGGAAGAGGTGGAAGGTGAAGGTGACAGGAAGCTGGGATAGGTGTGCCTTAGGATACCTGTATGGGTTTTCAGGGATATCTCTGTACTGACATTTTGAGCCCAGGTAGCAGCTGACACAGGGCAGGGAGCCGAGACAATGAGAAGAGTCTAAAATTGGTCCCTCCCACCTACGTTGGGCAAATCCTGGTCTCTCAGACACGTTCACAGCTCCACTCAGCCTTTGCAGGTGAGCAGGGATGGGAAAACACTTTGACCTCTTCAAATCAAAAACATCCCTCATAATCATCTCTGTCTAAGTACTGAACAGGAAACAGGTGAATTCAATACTGCCACTCCAAAGGTCAGATAAGCTATTTATGTATGACATGCTTAGGGGCATGTGGAATATCCTGGCTGAAGTATATTATTAGCATTTCACGCCTCTTTTCCATGAGGTTTTAGGTATTTATTGTGGAAAATGCGAGCAGGGGTGATTTGCTGCACACCTGCTTTATTTAAAAAATGAAAAAAAATAGTGAGGTATCATTTCATAATCAAAAACCAGATCACATTTGCATATGGAGCTGACAATAATTGTGGTTGTCTTCAGAGTTTATGAAGCAACAAATGGTTGATGTAATTAACATCCAAGTAACTGCAGAGGTTAAATCAACCCCAAGGGCAGCTGACTGCAATATCTTCTGCCTTCCTGTAGGGTTAAACAAAATTCTCATGTCCAGGTCTAAACCTTGTGTTCTAAAACACTCTTGGATCACTTGGACATGTAACTTTGCAGAACAGCTGCCTAAAAACCAACAGCTCAGTCTGAATAAATGACAGAATGAGACCTGTGGAGACCTGTCTGAATAAATGACAATGTTTTCCCAGGTGACTCCAAAATCCCATTTGAAATAATTAACCCTGCCCATATAAAATGATGGGGTTTTTTTGCACTGAATGACTGTGAAATCACCCATAAATAAGGGGCAGAGAGATGATGTGACATTTCAATAGGACAACAGGGAGAAGGAAGCCAGTGAGAGTCACCTAATTAATACCTCATGCTTTGTCTGGGGAAGAGACACGTGGCTGCTGGCTCTGAGGAAATTACTTATCCCTGTATCAGCTCTCCAATAAAAATGGACTGAGCCCACTAGAGCTTCCACAGGCCATACTGTGACTGGCACAGAGATGTAGGAGTCAGGAGACTGAAAGGCTTAGCTGAGTGCAGACCTTGCATTTCCTCTTGCTTCCCTTTTCCTTTTGCATCATCTTGTGTCATGTAAAGCTGGACCAACTAACAGGCTTATTCCCTAAAAACCACCAGTTTCATCAGCTTGTTCTTGTGTGATGTAGGCAGGTTATACAGGAGACTAAAGGAAATAGTATTTCTGCCTCCTATCTACTAATAACAGCTGTTCTTTAGTCTGATACCATAGAAAACAGTCTACATGAAACAAACACACAAGAAATCCCCAAAAGCAAGCAAGGCAAAAATCCCAGTCCATTCCCCAGAAGGGACAATATCATATTCAGGGAATAGAAAGACTCACCCTGGTTTTGGCATCGATCTGCCCTCCGCGATCCAACAAGAGCTTCACCATGTTTGTGTTTCCCCTTTTGGAAGCCACATGCAGTGGGGTGATTCCATTCTACACCATGAAAAGAACAAACAATGAGCTGGATGGATCTGAAGGCGCGCAATGGGGGTGAATTTGGGTTCGGATCACAAAAAATGAGACCATCACACGGGAGAGAATCAACGAGAATGTACTAGAGCATCAGAGCTAGGCACACACCATATAAGCTAGAGTTAGTAATTCCTTCCTAAGCAAGAATCCTCCCCCATTGTTTCGGGGTCCTTGAATAAAGGAAGCAGCGCATCTGCCCAAGCAGCAAACATCGCAGCCCCAGGGCCAGACAAATACACAAACATGTATCAGAGTCCCAATGAGCCAATAGTCACAAAACACCGATGCATTTCAGTCACTGCAACGTACACAGAGGACACAAGTGCGTCACTCCTACACAAAGGAACCTTCTTGTGTAGCGCCAAGAGCATAAAGGAGTGGTAGGCTGTGTAGGCTGTGTAGGCTGAAAGTCCTTGAAAACACTTTGGGTGAGGCAAGAGGTAATATTAGCAGCTACTCCAGATTGGAAACAGAAGGGAGTCAGTCTGGAAGGCAGAACCCTGAAGTAATTCAAAGCGTGTCTGGCAAGATTAAGCAGCAAACTTGTGACCTGGGAGCTGGGTTGAGATTGCCAGAGGTTTTCACTTCAAACTATGCAATATGAAACAGCAAAGACACTGTACTATGAAACTCTGCAGGTTGCTTACCATGAAAGGCTAGTCATGATTAATTAGTTCTTTTATTGTTGAATTTGTGTAACAGCAGTATACTCAACTTTCTGGTTTGGAGATATAGTTAGGTGTGAAAACATCAAATTAAATTGGTATAGCAAATACTGAACACCAAAAAAGCCAATCAATCCTACATCTACTTCCAGAGTTCATCTACCAAACAGAAAAGCCAAAGGGAGCTGACACATTATAAGAATTTCTGGAGCTGGCCAAAGGATCCTGCTTCCTCCAGCTGGGAACACTGGCTGTTACACAACTCCCAAGGCCTCCAGCGCATGGCACAGAGACAACCTTCCAGAATTACTGCAAAAAAGACATCTTTGATCCCAACAGAACTCCAGCATTACTTTGCTCCTTCCTTCACTCAGCTCTTGCCCGAGAGTTACCCAAAGAAGCCCTCTGATTTCCGTAGAAGCAGGGAGATGGAGGGGTGAGGCCGTACCCTGGCGGTGAAGTCGACCGCAGCTCCGCGGTTCAGCAGCAGCGTGGCCACGTTGACGTTGCCGTAGTGCGCGGCGATGTGCAAAGGGGTAAAGCCGCTCTGCAAAGGGAAACGGCCCTCGTTACGGGAATCTCCTCGTACAAGATCTCTAGCTGAACTAGAACCTGAGTTTAAAACGCTGCCCAACTAATGCATCGTGTCAGTTTTACCCAGACCGTGTCCACCTGTACTAGAGCACAGCCTTTCAGGCAGAGAGGCCACTTTTCAGGCCAGAGATTATCAAAGTGTTTTGTTCTTTTGTTCCCCAACTCAGTCCCCTGCACCGGTGGCCAATGAGATCAGTTTCCATCACAGAAAATATTAATATATTAGCCATTTTTAAAGAAAATAAAGCCAGATCCTTATTACCATTTGGAAGCAACATGGGTCTTTTAGGCTGTATCTATTTATAGGAGTAAGAAAAATGACCACAAAAGTTGTTGAACTCTTATTTTACTCCTCTTAGAAATAGAAATATGGACAACATATTTCCTATTGGGGTTTTTGTTTGTTTGTTTTTGTTTTTTGAAAGCACCAGTTACTCAAAATGCAATTAAAGAGTCTGGTTTACATGAGAAACTACTTAGTAACGTAGAAAAAGAATCATAATTATTTGTATTTATATACAATTTGGATTGCAAAGAGTCTGAAGAAACTTCTCAACCTATGAATCAAAAACCTCACGTTTTATTTATTGGGTTTTGAATACTAGAAGGTGAAACCTGCTCCAGCTATGAGACGTAGAATCGCTTGACAACAACATAAAAAAAGATTAAATTTTCAGAAACTAGGACAGAGAGCAAGCTTTTATTCTCATAAGTAATTCAAGTAGAAAGGGCCTTGCTTTTGAGGTTTCCCTGAAGAGCTTTACACTGATTTGATTGGATCTCGCTGATAGTTATAGAAAGGGAGGACCACTTCTGGCTTCTAGACTACAGCGTGCTCTCAGTGAGGTTTCTTTCCTCTCAGTAGCCAGACCACCATTTTAAGCGACTCCTGGAACAAAGCAATGTGGGCACGTGCTGCCCTCCTTCAGCAGGCCCTGCCATTGCCATTTCCCTCAGGGAAGAACATGTCCATGGAGCTGGGGCCCAGGGAAGCTGTCACCCTTCAGTTCACATCACCGCTGCCTCCTGGCAGCCTGCTCATGTGTGCACACACCAAGAAGGGAGCACCTTCCCATGGACATGGACATCCATAATTCATTCCTTCCTCCAGCAGAGAAACTCCATTATTCAAAAGCAGGTATTGGAACAACAATCGCATTCCTGGAAATTGTCCTTTCTCCTAAGAGTGGTGGTGATCTTTGGGGAAAAATCCCAGTCCAAGCCAATCAACCCCAAGACTTTTAGTGGAAGTAAAATCCATGTAAGAAATGTGTTATTTATGGCAGGTAAATTCTGAGTATCTGAGCCAGACACCCTGATTTAGTTATGCCAGGTGAGCGTATTTTCATAATTAATGAAATTGAGCTTAAAAAGCATCTTTATCCTCTTAGCTCCACTACTCACTTCAGACTCCTCTGGACTGATGTGAATTCTCAAAAATGCCCTTCAATACTGACACAAATAAAAATAAATTCTAAGACAAAGGATGAATAAAAATAGGTTCTTCAAGCCATAGATTTCTAAGTATTAAAAAAAAAAAAGGAGTCATGTCTTTTATTGCTAAATAATAAAGAAATATTGGCAAAGAGCAGAGAAAATAGTCATAAGTAACAGAAAGAGTAATTAAAAATTGTTGATCTCGGTACCTCAGTCGTCCTATTCACCATCATCTGATGCAGCATGGTTTGGGAAAGAGAGGAACAATATTAAAGACTGGCCACAAAACGAAGAACTATGTTGCTTTTTTCTGAAATGAGTTATGCTGTTAATTATGAGAAAAGCCATTCAAGCATGCATTAACTTTAAACACAACCTATGTTCCCGTGGGCAATAAACCAGTATCCTATTTAATAGGGAAGCAGTGATTCTGCTTCCGTTCCAGTGGCTTCTGGTTTGCAAACAATGAGAAAAAGCTGGTTACTGAAGGAATGGGAGGCATAACCAAAAAGTGAAAAAAAAAAAAAAAAAGAGCACTTTTAATTACTGTGTAGCTTAACACTGCAAACTTAAAGGTTTTACTGGTGATACTGGTGGAGCAAGTCGTCCTTCCCCACCGGGGCAGTTCGGTTTCCCCGTTAGGATGTGGGGATTGAAGGTGCTGTCCCCTGGGCCCGGAGCTCTCCCCGTTACCTTGGACTGCACGTCGGCGTTGTGGTCGTTCTGCAGCAGCAGCGCCGCCGACTTGGTGTCGTCCTTCCTGGCGGCGATGTGCAGCGCCGGCAGCCGCACCTTGCCCTTGGTGTCGTTCTCCAGCAGGATGGCCACCGCCTGGTTGTGTCCCTGCTGCAGTGCCACAGCCAGAGGGGTGAAACCGTCCTGGAGAGGGCAGGAAACCAGGGGTGCTCAGCCTCGGGGAGCCGCGCCGCGCCCTTCGTACGCACCGACTCGGGAAGCACGTTCCCAGCTGTTTTCCACCTCTGCACTCCATCTCCAGGGACATGAGATTGTCACACAACATTTTAACTCTTTCAAACACCTTCAGAAGGCTTTCAAATGTTTGAAATGCTTTGGAAGATCTTTTATGCTTCAAAGTAGTCTTTTTTTAAGTCAAGCGCAAGCAAAGGATCATTCTACAGCACCTCTCTTAATTACTTACTTCTCATCTTAAAATGGGCCACAAAGCTTATTTTTAGCAATTTTTTGTAAATTTACTGAGCACTGAACAGCACTGATGTGAAAAATACTGAGAGAATATGTTTTTGAATATCTCCCACCTCTGCAAAAAGAAAAGTGTATCAAACGTGCTTGCTGCTGTTCCCATTCCAAGTTACACATGAGCCATGAGTCAAGAAATCCAGATCATGTTTAGGAACGTGATCTGAAGGAGGAAAACATCACATTATTTATATTTTTTGGAAAAAGAAAATCAGAAGGATCTCTCTGCTTGTCATTCATGGTTTTAACTTTGTTTCTAAATCAGTTTTAGATTGTCTTGCTCCTCCACACGTGCCTGTGATGGCCAGTGCTTTAAAATCCATGCTAACATGATAGCAGCTTGCTCTCCCAGCTGAAGTAATATGGGCTACCAGATACTTCATTCTGATTTCCAGCTGAACCCTCGCCCTGGTCATGCACCCTCCCCAAGCACAGGTGTGCTGTAACCACATGAGAGACAGGACAGCATTGCTTTGGAATAAGAATATGGAAAGATGAGAGAAGAATAAAGACCAAGTTAAGAAGGAATGAGAGCTAACATATGTTGAAGGAAACATCTGAAGAATTGCCAAGGCAATTTTTCCCCTCAGTAATCTAATAACTTTCTCTCCCTTTCGCGTCGAGCTGTGGGTAGGTGCGTTGTAACAGCGATACTGCTGTGGGTTCTGCCTGGAACAGAGATTAAATTCTGTACAGTGAATTAAAAAGGGGGGAACAGCTGACAAAACAGCTGAACTGTAAAGATTATTCTGAGATTGGGGCTACATAAGGTGTTGAAATGGCTTAATGCATTTGCCTCTTGCCTCTGGGAACATGAGAACAAATCCTGGATTAGACTCTGAAATCGAGCTCACCCTTACTCTCCTTTTTTGTCTGCACATTCATAAGCGTGAGAGGAAATGAAATGCATCCAAAGGCAGTGCAAGTTTCAAGGCTTCAAAGACAAGTTCATCCATTTGATTTGCACCATTTCATCTCTCACCCTTCTCTAAAAGGACACAACTCTTTCTGCATTTCCCCCTCCTACTGCCTCTGGAAAGCATGGCTAACCAAAGCTTGGGGACAGCTTTTCATTTCCTCACCTCCCATGAGGAGGGCCAATCTCTGATGCTAAACAGAAGAACCTTCTCCCTGTATTTCAGCAGCATCCACAGTTCAGGCTGCCATCCCACCTTACTGAATGTACCATTTCTTCATCCCACTCAGGAGATGAACTCTGGGCATATATGAAAGCGATGGTGGCTCAGGCCTTCCTTCAGGAACATTCACACAATCATGGAAACCATCACCTCCTAAGCAAGACCTGAACCTAAAACTGACCTAGTTAAGCAGTAAAGAGGTCAAGAGCCTTTACTTTACATGCTACAGAGCAAAAACTGAGCTTGCTTTCTGATGACAGAAGACAAACTTGGAGTCAGGGTCAGAATAGGAATATATTTTACTTTTTCTCCTTTCTGCCTTTTCTATAAAATCAGAGCACAGTGTGAGTTCTGTGGACGTCTGCATTCAAAAGAGGCCACATGAATTATAACCAGCCCTCCCTCACAATTCTCGTGAGCTGAATGAATTCCCAGCCAGTAGAAGCTCCTGGGAGCTGGCTGCCAGCAGGTGACTGTGGGCTGCAGCGGGGCTGGGCTCATGGACAGCCCCAGTTCCACCTGGCTCCTTCACAAGGAGTGTGTTTCTGCCACGTTGCCTGGCAATCATATGGGATTTTTTATTTCAGAAAGCTGACGTGTAACGTGATCGCCACATCTATGAGGGGATTATTCTATGAGCTGTCATCAAATGGTGCAGTACCCACTGAGAGAAGGGGCAGTAAGACAGCTGTTAACACCAACAGGTTTGAAGGGAAGGAAAGAGAGCATAAATGCACCAGCATTGCAAATTCATTCACTCACGAAGGCGATCCAGACAAGGAAGGTTTCAGGACAGGCTAGAGAAAACATTAAACATAAACAAAATGGCCAGAGAGGAATTTTGCTATAGCTACTTCTCATGTCACATCCAGAACCATAGAACAAACAGGAAGATGACACATTTTGCAGCATAAAGCCTGTTCACTCACTCCCTTGGCTGGAATAAAGAACATTCGGCAGAAAGGGGAAACAGAATGAGCATAGTCCTAACGATCAAGGAGTTTTCTCTATTGTTCCTAAACCCCCCTCACATGCAGAAGGAAGCTTGTGGGATTCAGTTCCTCTTGAGATGGAGTCTCCTCTCTCCAGCTTAGGTGTCTCTCCTGCTTGCACAGGAGTTACTGCAGGTTTACAATCCACATCTCCAGTTAATACCATCCTTCTGCCCAGTTACACCCATGTGGTCCAGCAGCAGAAATAAAGTGTTTGTGGAGAGAAAAGCCTGCCAAGCTCATTGATGAAGCTCCTGTTAGTCATTTGGTTTCCAATTTACACCGGTCACAGCCAATAATGAATACTCACAAGTTACACCAAGTCATAGGAGAGCCTCAGAACCAGTGTAACTTCAGGGAACAGCAGCAAGAGGCTTGAGTAGGTGCCCTCCCAAATGTGTCTGTAAACCCAGCACCACAGAGAGCCTCACCACTTCTGAATCCAACTAAAATCCCCAGGACTCAGGTGCTGGGTTAAGGGTTGGACTCGATCTGAGAGGTCTTTCCCAACCTAAACAACTCTGGGATTCTAAAAGGAAGCTTGCTAACAGCTGCCTGTTTGATGACAATTGATACAGGCAAGCCCTCTGTACACAGCCCATGCAGTTCTGACTTTGAGTCGTCTGAACACACGGGCAAAGGAAATCATGAGCAAACCTGCTCACCTCGGTAGCTGTGCTTTGGTTGGCTCCATTCTCCAGGAGGTATTTCACCACCTCAATGTGGTTCTCTTGAGCTGCCATGTACAAAGGAGTAAAGCCATTCTAGGAAGGACAGCGGAGAAAATAGTGTCAGGTGGAAATTATATGTACCAACAATAATGAACCATAAATGGATACACAGCTAAAAATGCATTTGTCTTCTTGTAATTAAATGCAAGAAGAACAACCTTGTATTTTTCCCTTAATACAGTTATGTTCAAAGCCATTTAAACCCACAGAACTCCCCATGCTTTCACACTCATTTTCTCCTGACATATTTTAAGGAAGCAATGGACACACTAATTATTAATACAGCTATTCCTTGCTGATAATGCTCAGGGATGCAAAGCTGGCAATAAAGCTTTATGAAAGCTGACAGGAAAGCAAGAGTTTCCTCCATTTATTACATTTACTGAACCAAAGATGTCATCCCCTGGAGACCATGAAGTCCATACCTTCTGACAAGCTCAGTAGAGATGGCAAAGGCTTAACATACTACATAAAATTTTCTGATACATAAAACATCACAAAGCATCCAACATCAAGGAACTCAGTTTTGCAAAGAAACAACTTCTGACCATACAACAGGTTCAGCTATCATCTAATGAAAAACATACATTAAAATTTATTAAATTTATTAAAATAATTTGCTCCTGATAAAATGTCACTTTAAAAATTATTCTAAGTCAATCAACCTACAGTAGAAATGTGAGTTCTTTCTTCACCATAAAGTACTCTAATGCAAACAATTGTAAATTTTGATACAAAATCTTGATGAAAGAAAGGCATGGAAGTTATTTGTCTGCCTGATCAAAAATATATTTCTAAGAGCTTTTAGGATTTCTAAGAAGACCTTAGAAAATTCTTCAGTATTCTGTAGATTACTATGTAACATAAAAGGACATTTCAAGTCAGAGGCACCGATACCTCTGACTTGAAATGTCACTTGTAACTAGAAAATAAACCCTAAACCAGACTCCAAACTTGCAATTTATTTGATTTTTTTATTATCTTGTGTGCTGTCACACTGAATGACAAGGTTGTGCGTTCACACAAGCAATCAGAATTAATACAAATACAATGACAACCAAAAACCTTTTATTATTTCTAAGAAACCTGCTGTGGAAACATTTCAATACTTTCCTAATGAAATGAAATCTCATTTTTCAGTCACTAGATAATATAGAGATGGTACAACTGATGTCTTTGCAACCCCCCTCTGTGTTTACAAATGTAGAGGACTGTTCAGGCAATAAACATAATTTATGTTGTGGATGTCATGTGATATCTGCCATAAAAGTTGTAGCAAATATTTTAATGCTGCTTTGCATAATATTCTGGCATTTCCATCGACAACCTTGGGACAGAGAATTAAAAAATGGCACCCAGAGAACACACAACAGCAGTTCAATGCCAAAACAGGGGGGATGTATTATGAGTGGCTTTGTCCAATACTCTCAGAAATTATTCTAATTATGGACTCTTATTATAGTCACAGACAGTATGACCAAGATAGGCTGCAATTCCCTCACAGTACAGGATCAGCATTTGAAATCAAGGTCAAAAGACCTGGAAAGGTAATTTAGCAGGGACAAACGCAAGTTTTTGCACGACTGCCAGAAAAAAATAAACTAAGCACGCAGGGAATGAAGAATTCTGCAGAAAAGGCCCTGAAGGTCACAGCAGTCTTCCAGAGACTCATCACTGGTCAATGAGCTCATTCTGCTGTAATAAAGACAACCCTTGCACTGGCATAGAAATGGATCTCCTTAGGGAAGCTATCTTGCTTTGAGAAGAGACTAATAAATGGTGAAGGTCTGTTCTGCACGATGACTGAAACAAAAAAGCAGGGTTCACAAGGCTGCTGGAGGGAAAATTCGGGTTACACATCAAGAGAAACCACTTAACACTAAGGTGAGGCTGATGGGTGTCTTTCCTCCTCCCAAATCACTGCTAAAACCAGGCAGCAAACTGGAAGCACAGAGAGCCAGCCTCTCCCATGTCCCCCCTCTGAGGCAGGAGCTGGGGAGTCAGGGACCTCTGGTCTCCCAGCTGCTCCTCACACAGCCCTTAACAGGGAGAGGGAGATAAGAGATCCCATCACAACAGAAAACGAAGGAAGGCTGTTCACCGAGTAACTGGGAAGATGCAGGGGGTTCTCAAGCAGAGGCATGAGCTGGCAGAGGGAATTAGGAACAGATTGGGTTCTTTTCCACTGCAGCTGTAGGGAACAGCACAGAGGAACCTGCAGGTAACTGAGCTGGCTCACTGTTCCAGCTCTCCTTCCCACTCCGGAAAGAACCAATGTGACAAACTACGAGGGATAACTCATAGTAATTTTCCACTCACCTCAACAGCATTTTAATGGTAAAGTCTAATCTTTCAAATGTAAAACATGCTGTTTGTAAAATCCTTCTAGCTCGGAGTACCAAAAGGATCACCCCCACTGAATTGGGTGAATATGACAATTTTCAAGCCGCAGTTAATCAATTTGCTTAAAAGCTTTAAAGAATCTCATTTTTTTAATCAACTCAAGTCCCTGGTTCTGGAACAGAGCTAGAACAATAAATCCTGGATTAGGAGGCTATAAACAATGCATACATGACTTCATGACCTTTTAATACCAAGAAATACCACATGTTTTTCTACACAGAGATCCAGAAGACCTCCCATTCTGTCATGCCTGTGCTGTGATCACACCTGAAACTACAGCAGTTAGGAGACACAAATTACACAAAGTCGTAGTATCTTCTTTTTTTTTCCCCTTCAGGCTTTATTTATAGTCTGAAACTACTGCATATATTTTGCTGAAATCTGGCTCATTTTGGGAATTACAACGTGCTAAGAGCTGTGTGCAAAATTGCCTTGACCAGATATGCTGGAAAAGATTCCCCTGAATTTCTGCCCCTGGCAAGGTCAAGCCTGACTTTGTCTGCTGGCAGGGAGAAGTCTGCTTTCCCAGTCTGCTTTCAGTGAAGCTCTGGTTTCAGAGCTTCTAATTGCAGTGTCCCCAACTGCAGCAGTCCTGGGCCTCGGCCAGGAAACTCCTATTTTAGGATTCCCAATATGCCTGCTCTCCTTGGCAGAGCTGTGCCCAGTGGGATTCCGTGCTAGCCCTGCTGGAGCTCTTCCTTCTCCCCTGGCCACTGGACCCCAGGTGTTCCACCCTTGTCCAACCCCACGTGGTTTCTGTGATGAATGTGTCTGTCTGTCTGTCTCCTCCACAGCGAGTTACTCTCTCTGAGCCAGGCCTGAACTTCCTGAATGGAAACGCCCACACAAACCTGATCTTTCCCTTCATTTCCTTTCCTTTTGTCAATCTAAAATCCTCTTCCCATTTTCTCATCTTTCGATTGCTGAGAGCTTTACATCAATACTTCAGCTCTCTATTCTGCTTCTGGAACAGATATGTCAAAGCTCAAAATCTCCAAACTGATGAAAACATTTCCCCTTGACCTTTGTTTCACTATCCCAAAGTGTCTCCTGTTGTATCCCTGGGAAATGATTCTCTGTGGCCATACTGCAAGGGAGACTGATCTCTCCCCTTAGCATGTGGAATGAGACTCAGCAGATTTATTGGGCCAGTGGTGAGCACTTTCTATTCCAGTACATTTTCCTTCAGTTTATGATCCCATACCATCCAGAATTAAAGGAAGAATACCAACTGTGACCTGGAAAAGGAGAAATGCACTACATTTTTCTTTCCTGTAAGGCCCAGCTGTGCAATCATGTTCTGTGTGTTTAGATTTGGTGCATCATCCGAAAAATTGACATTAATTGTGTAATGATATATAACATTCATTTCCAAACAATGGATTCATCAGAGTGTTCGTGGTGAGGACAGAATACTCCAAATTTCATTACCCCCACAAATGTGTACTGCAAGATATTTACTGCTATAATATAAAGTCAGAATGAGAAATTATCACTAAACTGAGTATATTTCATACTCCATTCTTTCTACTACATTCACTGATTTACTGGCTAATTGGAGAAAATGAGTAGCTCTCAAATGATTCTTCAAGCTATTAATGTAAATTGGCAAGTCTATATATGACTCAGAATTTGTATCATTAAATTGTCCCCGAGCCCTAATGAAGAACACAGGCTGAAGAAGCAGAGGGATTATTAGAGTATTGAGAAAATCATGCAGTTCTATAGCTGGGTGGAGGTTTATTTCATGGCAGGCTTTCAAGGAACTAAGGCTCCTCTTTGCATGCAGCACTGAACTGTTAGCTGTGGACTTCAGAGTCCATACACCTATTTTATCCATACACCTTATAGCCCTATATCCATATATGAATAGGTACCTTTTGTTCCATACTGATATGGAAGAGAGAGAAAACAGAGGTACATAATCTCTATATTTTGCCTGTTTGAAGAGGATTCATGAGGGTATTGACATGAAGGATGAGACAAGAGTGAGACAAACATAAGATGATTCATCAAAAATCTCTCACGCATTAGAAAAATCTGTGTGTCATGGTCCTGTGCTAAAATACTGTTTCATGCAGTAAGATCATGGTCATTTGGGGGCCTTCAAGACCTGTTTCAGGGTTTTTTTTCCTATTCTTGAGAATAATGCTCAACTTCAACGAAAACAGGAAGTTCCTGATCTAAATCTTTCTTTCCTGATCTAAATCTTTCTTCAGCAACAGAAAGTTGATCTTCTTGTTTTCCCCATTCCCCACTGGTACCAGTCTAAGCCAGTGACACCTCTGCCTCACCTGAAAATTTCTACCTGCAGGCACTGCTTCCCCCATCCTAGTTTCAAGGAGTTTCTACAGGCGAGAAAATACCTCCAGCAAAGGTTATTCTGCCTCAAATGGCTGAATAAAGCAGTGGGCACAAACTGAGCATCACTTTTTTACTATGAAGGGGACCAAGCACTGGTTTGCCCAGAAAGGCTTTGGAGTCTCCATCCTTGGAAATACTCAAAAAACCACAACATGTTCCTGGACAGCCAGCTGTGGGCAACCTTGTTCAAGCAGAGGAGGAGACAAGATGAGCCCCAGAGGTGTCTAACATCCTCAGTGAAAAATCCTCCAACAAGCCCAGCAATA